AATATATACAGTTTTGCGATAGTGAAAAATTTCAAGTTTAGCAACTAAATTCTTCACTAATCGCGCGGGGCCAAAAACATCGATTTATATCTATTATAGTTAAGGGCCTAAATAAGGAGATCAGCCAAGGACTAAATATTGAATGAATAAATTTATAAATATTAGTACTTCTTATGTTCTTATCTTATAAATATACTTTATTTTTAGACAGATTCGATAAATGTGAGTGACGATAACAAGCTAATTTTTCTTTTCTCAACTAACTCTGCCCTGTTGCTCCCATATGCAGCAATTTACCACCTGCCCCGCAGAATCTAAAATTCGTTTACTTATTAATAAAAAGGAATTTATGTATCAAAGTGGCAAAACCATATTTTTTTTTTAATTTGAACATTCTGCTTAGACAATGGTATTTTCTCTAAAGACATTAAGAGTGAAATCGAGCTCTTAGATAAGAAGAATACTTAAAACGGTTATAACCATGGTTACGCTTCTAAAAAATTCGAGACTTTAGATGATTAAAGAACAAGACAAAAATGAAGAATACTAAAAAGTTGTACTTCAGCAATTCGGGGTTTATTAAATGTAATCAATTTTACCATACAAAAAGTTGTAGGTGCTGTTCACTTCCTTGCCTCTGATGTTGTTATGTATTTGTTTTGAACCATTTATCAACTATTGATAACATTGATTGAATCAACAAATTAACATTTTCCCTTTGTTGCACTGTTTCTTTTTCTCGCTTATTCTCAACAAAATCAGTTACAGAAAATAACGATTTCCTGAGCTGGGCTAAGCAAAACGAAAACAAAACATGTAATTTCTCAAAATTGTTACCATTTTTGTTGATACAGGTTTGTGCCTACGACTAATGATCCTGACAACAAAATTGAAATGATCATTATTTTTTCTGGTATTGATTCGTGAACCTGTGGAAAACGTATATCTTCATTTTTATGTATCCCCACAATGTCGATGTTTGAATCCAAAATCTATTAGAGTTAAGTTGGGAGATCGGAGTGACCAAACTATTGGTTCATCCTGCCTGATCCATTTATTAGAAAAATCACGATTCAAATTTCCCTTACTTGTAATCTAGCATATGCTCTATGTGCTCCATTGTGTTGAAAAAATCTTGTAAAGAATGTCCTTTACAAGACCTAGGAAAGTGTTCTCGCAAAAATTACAAGTTTTACCATTCAGAATTCTTGGCAGAAAATATGGATGATCTGCCTTCTAAAAATTCTAATCCAAACATTCGCACACCAACGTCTTTGCTGATTTCGCTGTCGTACAATAAGAGATTTTTCATAGTGCTAATAATGATGGTTGTGGTGATTATAAACTCCTACATCGATTAATAAAGCTTTAAGAAAAAGGTCAGGATTCTGATGAATTCCGTGTAATGCCCATGTGCGAAAATTTGCTGTATAGATCATCTCCGAGATATAGCATTCGAACGGGCTGTATCTTTTTTCTGACCATTAACAAAATAAAAGCGTTTTATTACTACACGGATTACTATCAATACTTAGCGATTACACCAAGTTGGGTTTGAGTGATCAAATAACTTTACGTCGAATTGTAATCTTGTGTGTTGATTCTTGATCTTTGATTCAACTTTTCGAAACCCGTAGTAAACTTCAAATGCTAAAATAGCCGATATGGTGTTCATGTATGTACAATGGGAGTGCTTTGAGTGCACGTAGTGTCTATGCGGAAACATTTTCCAACTGGCTACTACCTTCATATGTAATGTTTCAATGGCGGTTCACCGTCTAAAGGAAACTGGGTCATTTAAAAAAAAAATCTTATAATAGTGGACGTTAGAGATCCATATGTACGCCGGAAAAGAACAAATATTAAATGCAGTGGATGAAAATCCCGAAACAAGCAGATGTTGTTTCGACAACTCTTTGGGCACCTCATTTACCCTTACTATATTTAAGGTGTGCAAGCTCTCACTTTTCCAGATTACCACACAAGACAGACTTTCTGTTAATGGTTTTTACAGGAAGCTGCTGACTTTTAATCACGTGTCTTGGAAACTAGACATCAACAGCGTTTTAGTGTAAACATTTGATTAGGCATCACAGGGAATATGATTAATAAAAGAAAAACGATGAATTATATTTTAACGATGTTGGAATCAACCATTTTCAAGATCATAGAGAATAGGCTTTTAGGTCATACATACCTTGATTTCCCCGAAAACACTCTTCCTACACTTTTTGAAGACTTACCGTTAAAACAGCTACTAAATCTGTTGTTTATGCAGGATGGAACTCCACCGCACTTGCGTGGCCTGCACGATATCTCGATTTGAATCCCGTAGACATTTGTTTATGAGGCTATTTAAAAAATTTAATTTACGCGACACCTGTGCAAAATCTGGAAGATTTGCGCCAACGAATAGAACACAACTGTCAGATGGATCGTGAAATGACTGATTGTTTGAAAGGGTGCAGGCTTCCTTTCAACGCAGATCTAGATTGATCTAGAAACTGCATTGATGTTGCAGGACGATATTTTGAACATCTTCAGTCATGATTAGAGTCCATTATAATAACTAATAAAACAAATTAATAGAAAGTAATAGAAACCCCGAGTAAAATACTGGATATCTTTTCAAAAAATGTGTCATCCATTCACCTAATTTTTTACACTTTACTGGAGCTGGTTTCTTCAAACAATTCGGTAATTGATCATTAAACAAAGAATACCCCATATTAACTACAACTGTATCTATACCAATTTTGCAAGCTAAAGCTGTTTTCAGATTCTTTGAAGTCCTAGACATTGCAGCAATTATTTTATTGAACCTTTTAAGTTAAAGCAATACTATGATTGATGGTGTCATTGTTAACTGAAATACTCATTTCACCTTCCATATTTCGTAAAGATCAGCCATATGAGATAAAATATCATCAGGTACGTTCGCAATAAATTCTTCCCGGCATATTCCTTCCCCTAAATCTCCAGTTGTGGCTGCAAATGCATAAGAAAGTTCCACATATCTTTAATACCGTTGTTATAGTAACCAATTTCAGCATTCCAAAAACTTAAAGGAAGTTGGCAACTTTGTCATGGTAAAAATGAAATGGTTTAAAATGGTACCTCCTGTATATTTCATACTAACATCAATTTATTTAATTTTTTTTTATTATTCGCAATAAATATAGTGCAACGCTATATTTGAGATGATATATTATCTGCTTGGCTTCTGCAAATTCAAATATTTGTATGAACATGTTGCTTGAAACAATGCTCGTGCACTTATTTCTCGTTCGATTTCAAAACAATCTTCCATTCCACTCTAAAACAGTCTTTCTACATGGAATATTTGTCTACAACACTTTTTTTGACACAAACTGTATGTAACAAAATTTACGAATGACTAAATAGAATTAGTGCAGATTTAATAATAGAATTGATGACACAATTTGTGTTTTATAACATTTTACGGTTAGCAATATTCCCTGTAACAATTAAATTTTCAACACTGATTTAAAATTTACTAATATCATAAGAAATAAATTGATTTCCGTGTTACGAGCTTCCGTGTTTATTTAGGTTTAATTTACGATTACCCAATTTACGATTACGTTACTTCTGACTAATAATTATTACAAATAATTATAATTATTTGTATCCGTTAAGTAATTTAACATTTTTTAAATAAAAATCTGTAATAAAATATCTACACCATAATGATGTTTACAATCATTATCACATATTTTATCATTGTTATTTTAACAAAATTTGATTCAAACGTCATCGTTTAGACATTTATTTTCGTTGTTAACCATATTTTGTGCAAATTTTCCCATGATTCATTGTTTGAAAAAGATGAGAAAAAATGTCTCAGCTCAAACAATATATAGAATGTTATAGAGAGCGAAATTAAATTCCTAACTGATAATAAAAAATAAAATGAAATTGCTTTATGACGTATCATAACATTGTTTAAAGCTTTTTTTATATAATCGATTTCATTTCTTACGAGTTTTTATCTTTATGTGTTATGTGTTTGTAATAATAACTAATATCTTCTTAATTAATAAATTAATTGAAAGTAAGAAAGTTTCTATTCTATTGTACCTATTAGGTGAAAACGAGGTTAAACAATTTCAACAAACATTCTTATCAATTAAATTAAATTGAATTAAGGTTTTAGCACACGATTTTTTTTAGTTTACCCGCATGTGTGAGAACATATGTTGAAATTTAACATATGTTATTTTAATACTTAAAAAAGAAAATCGCTGTTTATTTATTTAAAAATAAACATTGATATAGTTGTTTTGTTACAAGACTTTACATACAATAGAATGAAATTAAAATAAAATTACGACAGGAAATAACATATATCCTTATCAAAAGTACAAACCGCAACTCCACAACAAATAAGGTAATAAAATTTTATTGTATTAAGGTCGGTTTCCTTTATCCTGTTTAAAATGTAACTGGAATACAAAAAGAAATTATAAATCAATCACAAGCATGAATTTATACATATTGTCTTTAGACATTTAATTCATTAAATTAAATGAAGTTGAATTAATATCTAGTTACTGATAAGCTCAGATAAATATTTATTGTTGAAGAGCAATACATGACATGTGCTTATATGAGATATTATCAGAATTATGGAATTTTCATTCACGCAATTTCCTTTGTGTACGTTTTTAATCGCAAAATAATATTGAAACTATAAATTATTGACGGATCGTTCTCAGTTAATATTTATAGTAGGCTATTATTAGAATGTTTATAACGAAATCGTGCTGTTCAAATCGCTTTTCACCCAAAAATCGGTTAAATCGCTCCCAATAAAATTTACGCGGTCAACGTTTGAAGGTAATATTTTTAGCTTTTACGGTGGTACGAATTTAAATTACTGAAAGACGTGAAATGTTTACAAGTTGGTTTATATTTTTTTAAAAAACTGTACTTTTTTAAATTTGAATGTATAATTTTAATTTTTTTTACATCCATAGAAAAAATATACAGAACATCAATTGTACACCGTATTCGATCAAAGCACCAGGCGAATATTTGATAATCCGGAAGGAAATGGCAAACCGGAAGAAATTTGCGAGCTATTCCGTGAAATACTCACGGAATGTGCACAGGCTGAACTCCAACTTGCCGAAGAACAATTTGCGCACGAGCTAAAGGTGGAGAACTTTGTTGCTAAACCTCTACAGGAATTACTTGATAAGGAATTACCAAACATTTTAAGGCTGCGAAAATCGCTTACCAAACACGTATTAGATAAAGATTCCGCAAAAAACCGATATAACAGTGTAAGTAAATAAATAAAATCTAAAAAAATGTTGTGCAAATTTTAACAACTTTTTTATTAGGCCGCTAAACATGGTGCACAAAAAGAAAGCATTAAATCGGAAATGGAAGATGCTGACATCAAAGTCGAACAAAGCAGAGATGCTTTGGCCGCCGAAATGTTTACCGTTTTGAAGCGAGAGAATGAATTGTGCCAGTACATTTTGCAATTGTTGAAATTACAGAGGGCTTACCATGAAAGTGCCTTAAAAAATTTAAACGGAATCATACCGGAATTGGAGAAAAAAATTGGTAAGTGGATTTAATTTTTTTGTTTACATTTGCGTACCCATTTTAAATCGAATAATGTTTCTGGGAAATTGTACAAATTTCCTTACATTGTTTATTAGTGAATAACCTCTGAGAAATATACTGCTTTTGTGAAAGTTATATCAGACTTCATGGAATTTGCTTGCAATTCCCACACAGTTTCATCACCATCATCATACTTGTTATTAGTTATTATTAGAAAAGTCATTTAACTCATCTAGTATATTTAGTTTTCTGTTTTTTTTTGCTTGAAACAAATAACGTGCTTTGAAGAAAATTAATTTTTTTTATTTTTTGACTGTTACTTTCTACTGTTACTTATTTATGTGTTAGGATTTGTAGTATATTACATTAATTGTGGGAGAATCCTAGATTACATCTAGATTGGAAGATGTCCAATTTCTTCAAGAACCTTTTTCTTACACCAAACGATGGTCTATTATAGAACAAAGATGTACTTTAATTTGGTTAATAGTAGCTTATAGAAGGGAGATAGGTTGGCAAATTAGTATCAATGAAAGATCAACGTCACGATATTCAAGGCTGTAAACGAACTTCCGAGATGTACAGAGAATTGTAGTTAAGAAGCGGTCGATATCTGTAATTAATATCATAGTTATATTGTCCATACAATAGTATTGAATGCATTTTGAAAATTTAGTAAATCGTACAAAATATATAGTTTAGGTTCATTTATGTTGGGTTGGTACATAAATACCGTAAATACCATAAATATAAGTACAACAAATATAGAAGTACAATAAAAACATGTCTAAATGACTATTCCGCTTGTATTTACCATAGTCATCAATAACGCTTCTCATTTGCTTGATAGACTGTTAAAGTCGCCATTCTTGGAGCAAATCCACGCATTGATTTACGCTTTGCCCTTCAACACGTCCAAACAGTCATCAATTTTGTTTAATTGTTAGGTTTCAGTAGTTTCACTGAGTATTTGATATAATAATAAGTGGACGTCTTTGTGGGAGGATATGGAGGATCACTTCTAAATCTTATTTTCAACGATCAGACGCTCAACACCGATCGTCCTATTCTAGGAAAATTCTAGGACAGCTTCTTCCTTGGGAGTTCTCTTGATTTGTGTCAATAGATTTGAAGATGATGGTTCCGGCTGTTTTTATTGATTTTTCGCCGTCGTTTTCAAAATAAAACCATTTGCAAACATCTTACAGCTTATTTTCTGTATTTTTATTGTGTTAATTTATAAGATGAATGATCTTAATGTTCAGTTTAAATGTATGTATATGTTCCCTGTGAAATGTAACACACTTACATTCCAAACAGCTTGAAATATAATCTTTAGCAAGACTCGTTTATTAGGTATGTAACGCTTCGATCAATTTTAATCAAATTATGTCTTAAAAAACGCGAGAACTATATTTATGTTTATTATCAAATTTAAATGTGTTATTAAATTAAAAAGGCGAAAGGAATGATAATTATTGTATTCATTCAATTTCTAAGATAAATAATAAAAATAAGATAAAAAATAAAATTGTATGAGTTATATCGTATATTATTAAATAATTAATAAAACTTTTTATCTGCTGTCCATTTATAGGTATGCCGATCAGGTTTCAAGTTCCTCAATAAAGTGTGTCTGTCCCTCTTCAAATCGCTTTCCGTTATCTCTGCCAAAACGTGGTACAACACGGTTTACGAATATTGATGAGTAATATTTTCAATACGATTATCAACTAAATAAACAAAATATATTTTACAAAAATTAGTTCATGGTACAACAGTTATGAAAAAAAAAAATGCCAGTAAAAGCAGCGAATAATTGTGCACCAACCTATTTATTTGTTAGATATCCAAGATCTTCAAATAAGAATATTTAGAATAATAATTGATCTTAAGATATAATTTGTTTGCTTCAAACCTTTATGTTTTCTTTCATTCTTCAAAGTTAGTATGAACTCTTTCTAGAAATTAAAATGTTATTTATCTTTTACAAATTTTGGTAAACGTATTTCATTATGCTTAGAATGAAAGTGTTTTATACTTCACGTCTACAATGAGTGATATAGATAGCGTTATCCTCACGTTAAAGATATCTCATACTTTACATCTATTACAGAAGTTTTACTCCTCTTCACTGATCTTCAGTTATAAATTATATTTCCACAAATAAGCTAATACTAATCTATTATTATTGTTATTAATATTCAATAATTATTGCAAATACAACATAAACTCATCCACGTCTTCGTTTTCATCCAGACTGTATATGTTCGTCATTCCATCACTTCTTCCTCAAGTTCGTCACATTTTAGCGAAAGACTCCACCTTTTCCTAATCCTTTTCACATAATGTGTTGGATCTGCTGTCTACTTATTCCATACCAAACGCGATAATCATCTTATTCATTTATCAGTTCTCTTATCTTGTTAACGTCCTGTCGTTGAGTAACCCTACATCCTTTATTATTGTGATCGTCCGTTTGTATAAATATTCTTGTTTTGATTGCACCCCAGCACTTCCAAAATTTCTCCAAATTTGACAATCTATCTATCTTCCACTTATATCCTAAACCACGTCTACCTACTTCAACCCTCAATCTTGCTACTTTCATTGCCTATCTCACTATGGGTATACAGAGTGTCCCGTATCTTCTGCATCATTATACAGTTGAAGGATACATTGTTCTGAAGCGATTTTTCTAATAAATTTTTTTCGAAATGTTTGTAATAACCGCACGGGAACTGTTTAAAGTTGTCCAATAAGAGATCGTAAATGAGATTCAGGCAATCAATCTCGCCCTCGGCCAGTCCGCCGCGCCAGTCATAACTGGTTTCGCACGTGTACTCACCAATAGATTCGACACGGAAAAAGAAATAAACTTTTTCCGCGAATATTAAATTCCGCTATTGGACTTTAAACGGTTCCCTTGTGGTTATTATAAATATTTTGAAAATTTTTTATTAAAAAGTCACTTCAGAATAATGTATCCTTCAACCATATAATGCTCTGATGAGGAAGATATGGGACATCCTGCATAGTGAGAGAGGAGATGAAGAGGAGAAGCTTTGTAGAGTATGTGGTGTATCCTGTATATTTTGTACATCCTCTAATATCATCTGCCCCATTCTTCATTCATATAATAATAATATTGTTGTTATCTATAATTGCTACATTGCAGATTTCTCTCTTTTCATACACATATTAGTGTTATTAGTTATTACCATAGCCCAGACAGTTTTCGAAACGTGTGCTATACACATGAATTGAATGGCTCCCTTCGCGCACTTCGTCTTACCACAGAGTAACCAGAAAGGATAGCGCCAGCGGTCTCTTTAATGTTCAAGGGTTAAAATTTTGTGAGGCACTGTCCTACTTACAATGCGTTCGGCATCTTATAGGTTGAAATGTCAAACGAGCGAATTTCAAAACACGTTAATTTTTTATCAAATAATAGATATGGAATTTAACAATTTAGGAATTTTTTTTTTGCACAGCAGGATACTTTCGACATACGTGAGCTAAAGTTAAAATAATACTAAAATATAAATAACATTAACCTATAAGATGTCGTCGCCGCCCAGACACAGAAAAATCAGTTTTGACGGGATACCCACACCCAATGTCCTTTCTGGTTATTCTGTGGTTTTAAGTCGTAAAACATTTACGCTGAAGCGGGGATGTTTGAGAGTCACCTTTCTAAACTGTTCGGGCCCTTGTTATTACTCTGTTGCATGTTTGTACTAATTTTCTAATTGGTGTTGTGTTTCTAGTATTTGTTCAAAACCCATAATCTCCCAAAACTTGCGACTTAAATAATTATACTTTTTTGGCCTATATCTATTGCACCCATTTTCTTCTATTATACCTAGTTAAAAGTAAGATCTTTCCTTTTCTTCACATTCATTTCCAACGGTTTTTAAGAAATCTTTCTAAACTTTGCATAATTTTTTTCGCCACTTTTGCTCTTTTTGCCATCACGGCAATGTTATTAGCTTTGACTAGCCCACCAGATATACCTGGTATTATATCTGGTATCTGGATACGTAATATAAGAATACAAAATTGTAAGTACATATATGCTTAAAAAAGCTGAAAATATTGTGAAAATAAGCAAACATAAAATGGCAATGAAGATTAAAAATGCATAAAAGTTAAGACTAGAAAGATAATATTATTGTTAGATTTCCAGTCTACCTTTTCCTTCTTCATTTCCTGTGTTAAGGTCACTCCATTTTCAATTCTTCATCTTCTTCTCGTTTATCTCCTTTACCCTTTTGCTGCCACTTTGTCAACTACGGTTATCTCCTACAAACTTTATGGCAACTTTTTTGATCTTTCTCTTTGTATATTGTTTCTTTGCATATGGACAATCCCAGTCTTACTTTCTTGGCACATTCACTTCATTGATCTCCCATTCATTTCCTTTATTCTCCTACATATTCTCCTTCTCTTATTACGCCGCGACGTTGTCGGGCAACTCATTGGCGGCTCGTCGCCTTACGGTAGAGACTCGGGCCACATGGACCACATCACGCCACATATAGTATACCACGCCACTGGTTGAGTTTTAGTCGGACAATCGGCCAAACACGTATTGAACGCTGCACCGCAGAGAACCCTCCAAATTTTACATAGGCCAGCATTCAACCAGTATCGTTACGTTGCGGCACATCGATATGCTCGATAGAAGCATGTTACTACTACGCTATAACCCGTTCGCTGCTCTATACAGATGGTGACATCAACAGCCCGAAACATCGCGGCTCTGCTTATTACCTTTCTTCCATTACACACTTCTTTCTGGAGTTCTCTTTCCCATTGTTAATTTACGGAACCGCCATCCTCCTTACACTGTGATCAGTATTTTCCTCTGCTGCTATACAGTTTACAAATAGTTGTCTATCTCATTACAATCCCTGTATTCATGCAATATAGTGTACAATGCCCATATGTTAAAGTTTTATCATACTTTGTCTAGCCATACAAACTCAGTTCCCCGTGTTAATATTTAAGTCTCTAGTCTTAGAGTATTTCTGTTTACCTTGTTTCAGTTCTTACGGTCGTCTTTTTACCAAATTTCTATCAAACACTCCTCCCGCATATAGTAAATTTTCTCTTCCCCGCATATCTTGCGACACTGTTATACACCGAACTCTTTTATTTTAACAAACACTTTTTAATGAGATAAACATCCTTAATAGACTTTGCGTCCATAAATTCTTATTTCTTTCAGGTATCATGCTCCATTACGTCTTATGTTCCATCTTTGGTTTCACTTTATATCTTCACTACTTTTTCTCTGTCCACCATATTTCTTATCTTCTATCTCCCTACTCTATTCATATTGATTTTTTACAATCTACTTCTCTATTGCTTTCCTTCATTTTTGTCAGCAGGGTCTATCCTGCCTAGATAGATTTCTTTCCCTGGTGCTTTCCCCCCTTTACTCTCAAAGGAAGAAACGTCTAATATTGAATGTAGTAAGCTCTCCGTTTCTATCAATCCATATTTAAATTGTTCCACCAATTTTCATGTCTCTATTCTTGAAAGTCCTAAATATTGTTGAAAAGTGAAGTATTTCATTAAGTGGTTAGTTATTAAGTTTAATTCTGAATTTTCAATAGTTTCATCTGCATATCCATTATTAAATGTTATTGTGTCATTTACTTTATCAATAAAAAAGAAATTTTTAATTGATAATAACATTTTACTGATTCTGAGTAAAATGTAAATTCATCTTAGGATGTATTTTGTCGGTTTCAAACCTGATACTCAGTTTATAGTCATCATTTCAAACTATTACAGTTTTTAAAACGTTACAAAAATACTATTAAATTGTTTTGTTTTAGGTGACAGTCGAATAAAACCAATATTTGGAACATCTCTCGAAGAACATTTACGCGTTACAAATCGTCGTATAGCTTATCCTTTAGAAATATGCATTTGCGCCCTTTCGGAAATTGGAATGTCAGAGGAGGGATTGTTCAGAGTTGCTGGAAGTGTAACGAGGGTAAAACGGATGAAATTATCGATAGATTCCGGCTGTTTTTCTTGTCCTTTACTTCCGGAATACAGAGACGCACACGTGATTGCAAGTATTTTAAAAATGTACTTGCGTGAATTACCTGAACCTTTATTAACAAGTATGTTGTATTCGGATTGGATGCACGCCGTTAGAGTCCCTGAGGATCAACGCTTGGATGTGATGAAGTTCGTTTTACAAAAATTACCTCAAGCAAACCGAGATAACCTGACTTATTTGATGAAATTTTTGGGAACTTTATCTAAACATCCAGAAACGAAGATGACTTCTTCAAATATTGCGATTGTTATGGCCCCCAATTTATTGTGGGATCGCCGGAGTGATGATATGTCAAATTGTACTGTTGCGAATATGGTTGTTGAGTATTTTATAAATAATGTGGATAAATTATTTGATAAAGATATCAATGAATTTTTGGATTTAACGAGTGGCGATTTATTCGAAGAGTGTGAATTTCAAAGGACAACTGTTGCAGCAACAGTGAAGCACCATGAAAGAAATTTTGATACTGAAAGTATAAGCAGCCATATGGACAGTCCAAAGATAACAACTCGGAAAAGAAAGCCAGTTGCTCCTGGTCCTCCAACAAGGCAAGGTAATGAAGGTATTGAAAATCCTATTGATGTACCAAAATCAAGTCTTGACACGGAATTTAATAATTTACACATTGACAAAACGAAACAGATTCTTATCGATCAAAATTCCGTAACATTTTCTAGTCGTTTTCCTGAAAATAAAGTTGAAAATTCTGAGAACAAGTCTTATTATCAATCCGGAAGTATGACTCTAACGCGACAACCGAAGAACAAAGCCGTACAAAATGTAAATAGCGATGACGAAACTAAGTCGTTGAAACGACGAAGTTTAGCGGAAGAAGCAGCACAAGTTTTAGATGATTCTAAAACCGTAGATCATAAATATGTACCCTTATCAAATACAGTAAATATACAATTATCTACCGCGAAACCTGTTCATCAAATCACAGCACAAAATGCGGATATAGTTTCCGCAAAACCTCCAATATGTGAACCACCAAAACCAAAATTAGATGATAAAGAAGGCAGTCAACAATTTATTAAACAAGAAACATTAATGACGAGATCGTTAAATTCGATAACGGACGATATTGATCCTTCACAAATTAGAAATCCTCATAAACCAGCTGTGCCAGTTCGTCCCGCTTCATTACGTGGTCCAATTCGTACTGACGCCGCCGCCGCTAATGACGTTCAAAGAACTCAATGTTCCGTTTACAATGTTCCGCACAAACAGCAACCTAGTATTGTAACTTTACCAAATCGTTCCTTGGGCCATGATACGCAAATGGCTGAGAAAGAAAAGTTTTTAGGGCATCAGCCGGATAAACCGCGTTCCTCTATCGAGAATAAATATAACGACATCAATTCTAACTGTGATCCAAAAACTACTAGAAAACCTGATGTACCCTCGAAACCTCCCCACAGGAAGTCAAATGAAATGTTAAACGCTGAAACTACCACTGAAAAATGTAATGGAAATAAGACTAGTCATACACGGACGAGATCCGATGGGAATATTGTCGAGCAAGTCAATTTATTGACTACACCGCCATCACCAAAAGCTTTGAACAAACCAACGCAGCCTCCGCCGCCACCTCCCGTTAAAATTAAAGCGGAAGGTGATAGTAATAATAGTACGGACCTGTAATTTTTAATTTTTACCCTACTCTAGTGAATTTGGTGATTACAAAAGTATATATATTTAATAATATATTGTATAATTTGTATTATACCCATCGTGTAATAAGTCTAGTTGCGATTATTGTATGTTATATTTGACTGAAAACAAAACCTTTTTTGTAAGTATTTTTTGCCTTTATCGCTATCTTTAATCTACCATCACTCTACATTTCTACTCGTTCGATTCGTTTCTTAACCTTAACCAAAATGCGATGGTGCTTCTTTTTCCTGTTATTGTTTTGTGTAGAAGTGAGTAATAATCGTTAACAATCGTCTTGTGATTGCCTTAATCAAAACATTAGAATTCATATTGTTTTTGTTTTGTTTTAATTTGTCGTTTACAAATTTTAAGTTGAAAAACGTTTTAGTTTTAACATTCCGTCGGCATTTTGTTTGAGTAACGGAGGGCATTTTTAAAATACTGAAAAAACTTTAACAAGAAACATAGATAGGAAGTATTTGCTATGTATGCTTTTAACTTCTCGTTAGTCTTCAATGTTTTTTTTTTCTGTTTCACCTTGTTTTCATTCACTGACTTTTTTTTTGACATTTTACTTTTTATTTAAATAAAGTTTATATGTATTTTAAATAGCTTTTCATTTCCTTTTACCATTTATAGTTATAAAAATAAGTAGATACACAGAGTGAAAATAATAACTCATCTGTCTTGTAATCTTGTCATATAGAGGAAAACCTAAAACGAAATTAAAAAAAATTAGTAAAAGGGTTCATTTGGTTAATTATTGTAAATACTGAAATTAGTCAAAATTAGAATAATTTGTGATTTTTCTTATTATTGGACAAGCAAGAAATGTGATTGACTGAAATAGACTAGGTAAAAATAAATTGTAGCTTTGAATGCACATCATAAAGGAACATCGAAAGTTACAGCGATATTTGAACGAAGCTGGTTTTGTATTTAGACAAACCTGAGTTGGAAAAGGCATAAGAATTTGTAATGGTGGTTGAAGATGTGCTTTTGGATGAACTTGTACAAATTCCAAATTTTCATTGCGGAAAATATACTATTATTTAAACTATTACTAAACTACTCACAAATGTGGATCATCTATCAATAATTTTTAGAGATTAGCTTGAACTATATTGCTCAAAAAGAGATAATGCCTATAGGTCAATAGAAACTAAGGAACTAAACAAAAAAAGGAAGTGTTATATAAAGGAAAATTATTTATGGTTAAAGTTTAGTTTAAAGTATTAAAGCTGCTAAATAACATTCACCATCATTATAGAAATCCTTATGGAAGAACATTATGGAACTCACGTTGGAACATCACGTATGAAATAAGTTTGAAGTTATGTTAGTTTTTAAATCTTAATCGGCGATTTTTCAAAACTGCTTGTTGCATTAAAAAGAGGATACATTAATTAATAATTGGTGATATTTTCAAAACGATCCTTCAAGAAATGAATTTTATAGCGAATTTTGAAAGTTATCGAAGAAAATTGCAACATCGAAAATTTTATCAAAACTTCAAATATTGTTTTCTCAAAAACTAAAAGCTATTTTTCAAAACGGGTTGGTTCATTGGAAAGAAGACACTATTATTAACACTTTGGGAAATTTTCATACTCATATTCCAAGAACTGCATTTTATACAAATTTTTAAAACTTAATCGGCGAAAATTGCAAAATTTGAAAAAATTGCCGATCATTTCAAAAATTTATTTCTCAAAAATTAAAAGCGATTTTTCAAAACGGCTTGTTACATTAAAAAGAGGATACTTTAATTAATAATCGAAAGTGATAACAGCGACAGTTCTGTTAGTAATGAATGTGATGTTGAATTACAAGCGAAGAGAAGAAAACTAGACGAAACTGCAAAAAGAAATTTTATATAGCGTATTGGGACTGTTACAATGAGGGTGCAAATACAAACCTGATATAAATACAGTTGTATTCAATGAAAAAAGTCCTATTGGGGTTGAAGTTGATTATTATCTGCAGTGTCCAAAACTTAAAAGAGATACTAATTCCTGTGAATGGTGGAGTACTAAGTAATCGGTTTTTAATTGGTAGCTATCCAGTATCCGGCCAGATTTTCAAGAATGGCCGGATATCCGTTCCACCACTAATCCACATCATCATGCGTAGCTCTACAGCTCGTTGTGAACCTGGGTCTGCCTTAATAGTTCCTTCCAAACTTGTCCATCCCCCGCCTATCGTCCACAAATTGTCTCTTCGATATTATAACTGATCTTCTATCCACAGATCCACGGCAATCAAAGATAATTCTTGTGATACTTTTTATGTTCATTCTGGCTACATGGCCAATCTACCAAGATGCACATTGATAAGTTTACCTATTTCTCGTTTGCAATATAAAAGATACAACTCGAAGTTGTAATGTCGACGCCAAATACCGTTGTTATTAACAGCGCAGAATCTTGGTCTTTCTGCAATAATGCCCGGTTCACATTCCAGTCTAGTAATCCAGCGAGGGATCTCAAGTATACGAATTTGCTAACCATCTTTATCTTGTCATCCTTAACAAAGGCCTATTTCACCTCGTTTTCAGTTTTCCCTATAATATCTGTGAAATTGGCGAATACCAAGATCTGCGTTGACTTGTTGAATATTGTTCCAATGTTCAAAGGCCTGCAGCTCGTACTACCTTTTCTAGGGCAATATCAAAAAGACAGTCTCCCTGTCGTCGACCTTCGTGGCTTTCAAATGTTCTTAATAGATTTCCTTGTGTTTTGGTTTTACAGGAGAGAGTTAAATGAATCATTGCTACCAGATAAGGAGGTATGTTGAACTACGACAGGTTTTTGGTTTAATAAATTTTGTTAGAAAACTTTTCTATTTTCTGATTATATACTATATTCGGATTCACCGAGTGCCACAAAACTGTATGAACACGTATCGTCGTCGGTGCCAACCCCTGAGGTACAGCTATCAAATCTGGCTCGGTTCCAAAAGGGTTAAGCAGAAATTAGTGTTCGGAAGAACCTTTTACAAAACCTTACACATTTTCTGGACGAATTGAATATGCTTGGAACCATATCAACACGATTTACAGTACTCATCGTGATATTATAATCCACAATATATTCTAATATACTATTTTGGGTTCGTGAGCCCATAATATCCACACATCTTTGTGTTTACACATCCAAACATCTTTCTGTATTGTTCCAAATGTACTTGTTTTATGTTTATGTAATAAATTGTATAGTTTTGGACTTGTGTTACAATCACTGTATGATAAAAGGGTCAAGATATGGACTTAAAAATGTCATGACAACATTTGCCAATTGTTGAATTGTTGTAACATTAGTCACAATAGTAGACATGGTCCCTGCTGCGAAAACTCGGAGGCTTCAACCCACCCGACCAATCAACCTAGTAACTCTAAACGAAGTGGCGTTACGTATAATGTCACAACCTCAAGAGCACCCCAAAACCGCTTACACACAATTAAAGTTAAAAAAGTTGAGGTCTTTTACTATGACTTTAAAATTTATCTGTACAGGGTGTCCAAATTGTACATGGGTTTGCAGGGTATCTCAGTTATTATGAAAGATAGAAAGTTGCTGCTTTCGCGAACCTGAGCTACTTTTTTGTGAAACTTACAATGGCGCAAACCAAATTTTCATAGCTCTCTTCGTTTTTGATATACAAGGAGTGTTTGAAATTTACGATTTTCAGACACTTCCTGTATTTCGGCTATCCGGAAATGTAGTAAGAAAGTATAAACGGGTTCTAATAGATTTTTCACGTGGAATCCAATGGTGCACGTAGAATTTTTCTAGTCATCACGGTTTTTGAGTTATAAACATAACTGAAGTACTGAATACTCAACTTCTAAAATACTAAGCTCTTTATAACTCAAAAACCGTGATGACTAGAAAAATTCTACGTGCACCATTGGATTCTACGTGAAAAAATCTATTAGAACCCGTTTTTACGTTTACGGATAGCCGAGATACAGGAGGTGTCTGAAAATCGTAAATTTTGAAACACTTCCTGTATATCAAAAACGAAGAGGGCTATGAAAATTTAGTTTGCGCCATTGTAAGTTTCACAAAAAAGTAGCTGAGGTTCGCGAAAGCTGCAACTTTCTATCTTTCATAATAACTGAGATACCCTGCAAACCCATCGAAATATGGACACCCTGTACACTTGAAACAGAATATTTCAACCTCTTCACCTGTAAAGAAATCATGGAACAGCTGAATGAAATGAAAACGGGAAAACCCTGGCTTTAACGCCACTCATACAAAGTTTCTGAAGCATAGTGGCAGATTTACTAGGCAATGACTTGCAAAGTTCTTGTCAGATACCTTTAAACAAGAAATATTCCACATCAACTCAAGAAGATTTCTGACAGCAGGATTCTGACCATACCGTAGCTGTACAGATCAAGTACTCGCACTGACTAATTATGTGGAAAGAGGCTTTCAAAAGTAACTAAACACATCTACTGTTTTCTTTGACTTGTCAGTTAAGTAAGATCACTGATGTTATCAATGCCACATTATCTAACAGATGCTCCCAAGTCATCATGAGCGACAAAATGAAACTGAACAATAGCCTTCCACAAGGATTGGTGCTGGCTTCTCTGCTGAGACTGAAGCTCTACATAGCATACATGGCCAAAATCGTATCAAAAAAGTTCGGATACGTAGACCTCCTACACCTAACTATACCATTATTGCTGTTATTTTTGTTTTTCATAACTCAGATGACAACCGAACATGTTGGTGTCTTCTGTATTTCACCATTATAATCTTCACTTATATCTAACGTTTCATCCAAGTCACTGCCGTGTCTTGTAACAAATTTTTTAAAGGTGCTACACATTTTTAAATTATTAACAGCAGCAGTAAATAGTGTAATAATCATAACTGCATATACATGGTCATAGACTCAAATTAGATTAGAACAATCACAAGTCTAAATGATAATTCGTTTGCAAATGCAGTTGCATCAACAATCCTTGATCAAAATCAGGAAAAGACTAAAAAACTTCAATATGGTTAGACCCACATTACATATCTCTTCGTCTGTTTCGATTAGAAATCAATCTAGGTTTATTATTGACTAAAACAGAATGTGAATTGACGAATATTGTAAGCTCTTCCATAATAATGATTGTCTAAAATGGAAGAGTTACGAATCGTTAAATAAATCATTATTAGTTTTGACTGATTTCATGCTTTGTAACATTAATACAATTAAAAATTCTTACTTGTTCTAAACTAGATTGCGTAACTGCGTAATCATCAATATTCACTGATCTTTTCAATCTCTCCATTTCACCAAATATTTTAGACCATGGAATCGTACCAAGTGGGATATGATAAATTATCATTCCAGAATACATTTCTTGGAAAATAGCCAAGGGAACTTGCGTTCTTATCACAGAATCCACATTATCCATTTTTAAGTCATTTGGTCTCATCTTCACCGTTAAAATATTGAATTGAGAGAATTTGTTTTTAAGATAATTCGGCGATCCTATACATTTTAATTTTCCATTTGTCATTATCGTTAATCTTGTTGCGATAGCTTCACATTCATCCATATTATGAGAAGCTATTAATATACATCTCCCTCTATCTTTTAATTCTTTGAGGTGTTTCCATATTCGACGTCTTGATTCAGCATCCATTCCTAAAAAAGCTTGAATTAAATTAAATGAGTTAAATTTTCTTGTTATGTTAACCTGTTGTTGGTTCATCTAAAAGTAGGATAGATGGATTTCCTATCATAGCAATTGCAGTACTTAGTTTCTTTTTAATTCCATTACTATAAAACTTGACTCTTTTATTTAAATATTTAAGAAAGTCGTATTTTTCCGCTATAAATGTTGTAAATTCTAAGCTGCGCGGGTATGATAAACCTCTTAAAAGACTAAACATGATTAACGTTTCTTTTCCAGTCATTTCGCCGAGTAATGCATCAAGTTGGGGACAATAACCAATCTCTTTATAAATTTTTCTTATTTTCAAATTTAAATTGTTTCCATAAATCCAAACATTTCCTTTCGATATGATTAATTCCCCCATAATCATTTTAATCGTAGTGGTTTTCCCGCTTCCGTTCGCTCCGAGAAGAGCAAAACATTCGTATTCTTGTAGAGCAAACGAGATTCTATTTACAGCCAATAATTTATCGCTACACTTTGTGACATCTTGAACGACAACGGGGTAATCTCGCCGGTTTAAATTTAAAGCTTTTACTTTGTATCGTTCTTCCATTACATCAATATCTTCGCGTCCACCTTCTCTTGTGCGCTTTATATTATGTTGTTGTAAAAATTGATATAAACGTGTCAACATTCTATTTTCAGTCAAGTAGATTATTATTATGGAAAATATGGTGGCGATGCTAAGAAATATTAAATGTTTTCCGATTCCTCTGTTATTGAAACTTAAATAATTATCATCCAAGTCTGGATGTTAATAAAAAATTACTTGAAGAATTGTTGTATTTTCGGTAAACTTACTGCAACAAAATTCGTTCGTTTTGCATGGAGTGTTAGTTGAGTTGGCCGATTTTAAAATATTTCCAAGTTGTTCACAAACGTGTATTTCCCCATATTTTTTTCCGAGTTCATAAATTCCAGATGTTAAAGCAAAATGGGGGAAAATCAAAAGGATCCAGTAAATAATATCACCAGTTAAAGTCCTTTCATTGTCATCAATAAAAATTTCGTGAATAAATAGAACAGCAAATGGGCCTAAAATAAAAACTTATAATTTCTTTAAAACAAAAGTTAGTTTTAAACCTAAGAAAAAATTGATGAAAACAGCTACACCATAAGCTAAAGGTGGATCTTGGATACATAGTGATAGAAGATATAATTGTGTTAAAGCTGCCAAACCAAAAAGCAATAACAATAAAATAACTCGTCCTATGAATTATAAAATAAAATTAAATGATTTTTTTTTATAATTTTGTTACCTATTTCTTCGCACGAACTAAATCCATTTAATTCCAAACAAATAAGAAATATTGTAACTAAACAAACGCTAATTAAAAAGCAACCATAATCCCATAATAGTCCCACTCCCCAATAAATAGTAGCGTTAACACCGGAAATAAATTGTAATTGCTTCGACTTGATTGCCCGTTCTTTTACGTAGAAGTAAATAAAGAAAGCTGTTACGTAAACCATCGCAAATCCTAAACAATACGCCAAACGAACTATATCATTGAACATTATTATAGACTTTGTATTTGTTGCAATTGGTAAAGGATAATTTATAAATTCCAAATGGCAATCTTCGCATTTTAAATTTGTTTGTAAAATTGTATTCATCGTGTATTGTAGAGCTAAAGGCGCAACGTGATATCCCTCAGGATTAAACCAAGTTGTTATTTTATTTTCTTTAAATGATGCTCCAAAAAGGTTTTTGTATTTTTCTTTTTCTTGATGTTGTGCCATCTAAAATTTGTACTTTAATAGATATTATTCACAAATTTTGTTAAAATCAAACATACATAGCTCATTATGTTAGCGCCAAAATCCTCTCGTTCCCAATCAATTAATATTCCGTTTTGTTCAATGATTGTTTTCTTATACGTGTGGTAATATTCATTTGTGATGTGTTGAGTTGAAACAATAGCTATAAACTCTCCGTATAAATCGTTGGTTAATACAAGTTTAGGCAAGTTGTGGTCATCTTGTGTGGTATATTGAGTGAACGCCATCAAAATCATGACTATTAAAAGTATTAGAATTGGGAGAATGAATAATATTAAAGACCTTGATGTAGAAATAAATTTTTTCATTAACATCGCGATTATTTGATTTTTTCTTAATGCGAATCCTTTAAGAAAATTTTCCTCAAAATCTACAAGAAAGTCCAAATTTAGAGAAAAAAAATTAATATTTGGAATATGTGTACTAATAGTGGATGGTTGTCTGCTAACATGTTGTGAAGAAACATCAATGTCTTGGTTGTAAGAACTTCCTCCAGCTCTGAAAATTAAACCCGAAAAAATAATATTGAAATGACATTAATTTTTTTTTACTTGGTAAAAATATCTTCTATTGATGTAAGAGAAACACTAAATGATCTAATTCCTAATTGTTCGCTGTTTGTTTCTAAATACAACAACAAACTTTCAAAAATCACTGTATGTTGTTCAGGAAGAACATAAACTAAATCGTTCCCTACATCATTTTCTATCTAAAATTGATATAAAAAATACTTTTTTATTAATAATGATAATACAATCAACCTCTATAGTTGGAATATATCCTCTCATCACTTTCGTCAATTCATAAACATCACAATTTGGAGTTTTCACTATAATCAATCTATATCCTACTCCATATTTTTTCTTTAAGAAGAAAGTACTACCCATAGCTTGTAGTTTACCTTCACTCATAATTGCGATTCTATCACCAAGTACAGCTGCTTCATCCATGTAATGAGTAGTCATTAGGATTGTTTTTCCTAAATGGAAATAATTAAAAAAAAATTATTTTGGCAATATTTATATAGATACCAATTTTTTGAGATTGCAAAATATCGCATAAATCTCTTCGTGAAGCTGGATCCATTCCAGACGAAGGTTCATCTAATACACATACTTTGGATTTTCCACAAATTGCTATTATAGCACTTATTTTTCTTTTCATGCCAGGGGAAATGTATTGAATTAAAGTTGATTTCTATTACGATTATAAAAAAATAGTGATTAGGGACAGATTTATTGTATCTGAACATTATTAGATGATAATTCTAAGCTACTCTAGAGTAAATAATCAACTCTACACCTACACACTATGGGCTAAAAGTTGATTGCATTCATTTATTACTGTATGACGAAACAAATACAGGCGTGGAGAAGGAAAAACGAAAATATACCATACTATAACATGGTACCGAGACGATAGCAGAGACAAAAAAGACTAAGCAAAAGATGAAAGTAATGGAAATGAAAATTTTACGATCTATCTACACTACCAGATAGACAAACTAAGACAAAATGAAGAGAAAAAAAGATATGGAAGAAACATGTAGAAAGAATGAGAGTAAGGAGAGAATCGCAAGAATTTGTATGTGTGCACGACCGGAAGGAAAGACACCACAGAAGTCTTCCTCTGCGGAATAAAACCCAAAACAAGTGGCTTGACAAACAGGAAATTGTCCCTTTATCCCTAGTCGAAAGTAGAAGAAGAAGTTGGACACATGTTGGGACAACTCAATGTGAGAAATGGAATACATGGAATAACATAGAAGCTCACATTCTTGGGATTATATTCGTATTCTATTGGGTCTGTTTTGTTGGTAAAAGTAAAACGTTGTACGTTATGGAAATTGCATGGCAATGCCGTATAACGATAATTTGATACTGTAACATTAATTGTATCCTAGAGGAGAGGACACCATGCATGAATAGCTTTAGATCATAACAATGCGCAAGTAATGAATGTGTTTAATAACAATTATCAATTTGTACAAAGACTGGTGAGGTCAAAATTAACACTTGCTAAAAAGCCAAATAAAAATAAAATAAAAGTAAGACCTTCACGATGAAGAATAGGGCTTCTACAAAGGAAATTCAAAACTATTAAAACCAAATTGTTGACATTTGAGATATAGATAACGCTGTCTTGTTGTATATTAAGAGTGTGTTTAACTCCATCTCTTAGCAAGGGATTACCCATGCTTTAGAAATGGGAAATGTGAGCAGATATCTGATTAGTAAAGTAGTGGATTGCTCATGGAACTTACACTAACATGCCTGTTCTATGAGAAGATACTTGGGATTGATTCAGAATAGAGGGTAAACCTCATTGTATATGTGAACAACTCCGTCGTGGTCTTAGAAAACTAAACGGTACATAAATATCAGAAATAATGGTGTATACAATTTGAGAAAAGCCATAAGATTGCCGCAAGGCAGAGGAAAAGTACAAACTCTATGTGTAGATTTAAGCATAACTAGCATATGTGTAATTCTGTATGCATCATCTACGTGACAAATAGCGCTTAAATATAAACTTTATAAGGAAACATCGCACTTAGTTAATAGAAAAGTGTTTGTAGGTATTGCATCTGTATATAGAAACTAATAACTCGATGAACTCGAAGTGTAATGCTAGCGATTAATTGCTAGTAGAAACAAGTATTGTATACAGAACCAACACCGTGGGAAGTTGGAATGGTATATGGACGAATTATAATAACTGGTTGAAGGACTTGCTTCTTGATTTAGACATGTACTTGACAAGCTTTGAACAGAAGAACAGATATTTCCTCTTATTCACATACAACTATCATTTTTTATCGTCTGTAATGAAATCGTTGCTTGTGTCCATATTTTGAAATAGTAAACTGTCGAAAATTGCGGAACATCGGAATTTGTTGCTGTTAGATTTTTGAAATCGCATCACATCTTTTTTCTAAATTCCCTTGTTGTTTAGCCCGGATCTTCTTGAATAACTTGGTAAAACTAGAAATCGAGATATCTGGAAAATAGCAAAATGAAATACTTGTAAAAACACAATGAGAAGCTGGCAATATTATACGTGCATAAACAACGATCTTACTAAACCAGAACAGAATATGAATCTCGAAATTAGAAGACTGGCTAGAAATGAAAGTCCGAAAAGTGAAGACTTCCTCTGGATTCGCGGTAATTGCCGAATTTACCCTACTTACACTATGAACTACATTTATATTTGACGATATTGTTATAATCAAATCAGCTTGAGTATTCAGTTTCCAAAGATTAGAATGGAAATGGTTTTATATACTTGGGTAGATCAGAGTCAATGAAATAGATTAAGTTCTTCACTAAGGAACATGTATTACGTTAGCACTCATCAAAAATGTTCATGAAAGAGGTATCTCTTGCATTGGTTATTAAAGATTAGAACGGATGGATACAAACCATATTTATTGAGCTAAGGTAGAACCGTCTCCTTCAAAATTAGTCGTTAAAGACGTTGTGAGTTTAGGTTGCGGTTGATAGCTTAGTAGACTTCAATGATCTGCCAAGTCCAATAGGGTTGGTTTATGCGGTGTCCAACTATTATGGGCGCCGATTTATGCTAACCATAAACCTTTAGAAAAAATTTTTGTGAGGAGAGTTATATTTAGAAAATGACAAGTTGTCAACAAAATTATGGAAAGTTAGAGAACAAGATGTGGTGATATCAAATCTATTAAATAAGATAGATAATTCAATACAAGTTTCTTGTGAAGAAGAAGTGTTGCTTTGTAATGAACATATTTACGTTTCGATCATTTTCGAACATTGAATATTTTTTAGATAAGGACATCGACAAACATTGATGGAAACTATGAAAGTTCTTTGATCGGCAGTTGCCCATTTTGATTACACTAAGATTTTAGTAACTGACAATGACACATAATTAAAAAAAAACGGGATCATTGTTGTATGCAAGCAGTTACTAAGGCACTTAGGAAGAGATTTCACTATAAAACTTACTGATGTATTTTGCTGGAGGATTTAATTTTTATGATTTAGAGAACAGTTATAAGAAGCTACTACAGAAGCAGAATGACTGGTGACGCATATAATGCTCCGTAAGTATATATGACATAATGATATTGTTGCATTTCCAGAGTAGCTTAGAATTACTAAAATGTAGCAATTAAAGACATCCGGTGATAATCATAAATTTTTCGCTACATTGCTAAGATTCAAAACATATCCTGAGAATCATGTTTCCAAATCAATCTCAAGATCGTTTTGTTGACACGTGGACACTTGGCATGAAATATGTCGTAAGTATTAATAACACGTTTTACGAGATTTTTTAAAACCTAATTTTTAAACTTATAATAAGTTCGACTCACTGATCCAAATTTGATGTATTAACAAATTTTGCAACAGCAACATCTAGCCATACACCTCAAGGCTCTCTTTGAACCTTCTACAGCAGTGAGTCGAAAAAGCTATTGTTTTAGGTTTTTAAATATAATAAAATTTACTTTGTTTTCTAACTTCATTAGTTCAATATACTTATGAACTTCCTCTTTTGCTTCCTTTACGTTTAGCCCTTTCAATCTACAAAACAATGTAATATGTTCTTGAACGGTTAATTTTTTATATAAAACATCACGTTCTGGACACCAACCCAACTGCGGTCTAAATTGTTCTGGATTTCTAGTCACATCAATTTCGTCTATGATAACACTACCATCGGTTGGTGGTAAAATTCCCACCACCGTATTAATTACGGTTGATTTTCCACATCCATTATGACCCAAAAGTATTGTAATTTGATCAGTGAAAGCATTTAATGTTAGATTATCAAGAGCATTGTGCCGTCTTTGAAATGTTTTTGTTAAATTTACTATTTTAATGCCGGGTTTTAATTCTGGCGGATCTGGTTCGATGAACTCTGGTGATGCAGCGACTTCTTTTGGGGCGTCATCCATATCGTAGACTTCATTTTGTCGAAACCAATATGGTTTATGGAAAATTCTCCAACTTTTTGAAGAACTAAATATTCCACGGATAAAAATGTGAAACAACATTCCAATGATTAAATATAAAATTGTATCGAATATAAGCATAAAAGTGATATGGCACATGGTGATCTTTGATCCTTGATGACGATTTTTACATATATCATTCCAATGCCATCCTTAAAATAAAGATCGATCTATTAGGAGCAAAATAAAAGTTACTATAAAAAATTTTCTTTTTTTAAGAGAATTTCAATAAAGAATATGAGATGAAATACAAAAAAATGATGCGATAAAATCTAAGAAAAATGCTATCTGTTAATTATAATTTAGTAAATCATACACTCTTAAAAAAAGAGAAATTTCCAAGTGGCATATTTTATATTTTTATAATGTTACCATCTCCATGTTCTTCAAAGAGTAAAATCAAATGAACACCTTCACATAAAGCCGAATTTAACGATAACATAGAGATCATTTTCATTGATGCGGAAACATCATTTCCACCGATGAGGGCGTAAGGAGCTAAAGATAGATACCATAAAAGTACTGCTACTGCAGCAGCTAAAAACTCTAGAAATCAATAAATATAAGCTTGCATTACATAATACAGACTTATGCAAAATGTTGGTTCAAAGTCATGTCTTATGAAAACCAAACGGTACTTTAACATTTGTGTTATCAGTTATCACACATAACTAAGCCACAAACACGTAGAGATTACAAGTTCAAAATCCATTTGGATGGATACCAAGAGAAGTTATTAGCAAGTACCTCATCACCACAATTTCCAGGTTAATATGGAGATCCAATCTCTTGGGATACAGTCTACGATATAGTCTATATCCTTAGAAGTTCCAGCTGGTCTTGTTTTGGAAACTATGCTTAGGGTTTAAATTTCAAAGTTTGAATCTACGGCACATGCTAATTATATTTTCTCCAAGATTGTGGAGATTCCTGGGCTGGATGATGTGACTGTTCTAGTCTAAAAATCTTAGATTATAGAAAGTTGAAAATCATTGGCTGAGCATGATTGAAATTAGGGATATAGTGTAGAACTGTATCCCTAATTTCAATAAGATTCCTAACTGGTTGATGTATTCAGAGTGATTCTTTGATGAGATATATTCAATATTGAGTTTTAACTTCACATCATTAAAAAATTGGGATAAGGGTTAGCAATGATTTGGACTTTGAAAAAACTTAAGCTTATATCCCACAATCGCAAATAAACATATGATGAGCAATTCATACCTTTTTATGATTATTTAAAGTTTTAATGCACAACATTCGTTAAATACCTGGACTTCTTCTCAGGATGCCTTTGCCGGCGGATAGATGAGAAAGAAAATACCATCCACAGGCCAATATCATGGGCAGATAGGACTTATAGCTGTAGTTAAAGCAACCGAGTTAAGAGAGGGATAACTTTGAAGTAAAACCTTTGCCCTTCTGATAGGTGGTAAAGGCATCGAGCCAACTACATGGTACTCGAAAAGAAATAACAGTCTCAGAGCAGAAAGATAAAAAGACAACGACTCAAGCAATGAAAATGAAATTGAATTTTGGTACATCAAAACATTTTGGAACATGAAAACAAATGTACATTCTAATACGAGGGGAAGACATACAACAACATGGAAACAATAAATCAGCGAATGATTAAGATGAACCTAACTCTATACGAACAAAAGGTTATAATACTACAATTATTTTTACTCTATAATGACGGTACAATGGTTATAAGTACATCCCTAATGAGAATAACCATAACGGATGTAACGAAAGGATGTAAATCCATGAAAAATCCAATAGCGCTGGGTCCTTGTAACATCCCAGCAAAGCTTCGTAAATGTGGAACAACAAAACTATGCCTCAACGGTAAACCATATCCAGAAGAATGGAACAAAGCCTTTATAGCCATCATACATAAAACGGGGACAGACAAAACTGCGACAATTACAGAGGAATAGCAGTGGCGCGCACGCTATATAAAGTATATGGCAAGATCCTTGCCAACAAAATAGGCTTATTGTTAGAGTACAAAAATATGGAAGTGAAGGTGGAAGCAAGATTTCGGGAAGATCAACAATACATCTCCTTTTCTCCTCCCCTTTGTGTGTCTCGTAATTAATGGAAAAAGTACTTGATGTTTATAGATCAAAAATTGCGTATGACAGTATTCATAGAGCAAGATGTGGGAAGCAATCGATAGAACGAACATCAGAGCGTTCATAAAAAGCCAGTAAGAAATGTATACTAACAAACAATAACTAAAATCAAGATGCAATTGAGACTGTCGAATGACTTCCACATCACTAAACGACCCAAACAGGGCTACCTATCGATGGAGGATTGACAACAAGGTGATGACCTTGTTTAGAATAGAAGGAAGAAGGAGAATAGAGGAAGCAGAGGAAAAGAAAATGTTCACGGACGGCCGAATAGTAATCACGAAGGACCAACAAGATATATGTATTCCATACATGACCAGGAAACTGATAGAGGAAAATAAGTGAATGGGGCTTGGAAATTAATGTATAAACAAATAACAGCGTATATATGTGTGGAGTACAGCAGCAGGACATTGATCTAAACTGTATAGAATATACCAGCACAAATATTGGGGAGTGTAAATAAAAAGCGACGGAACCTTAGAGTACACCATGAAGGACAGAAACATATAAGACAGAACAGTAATATTTAAAACTATAGTAAAGACCACAATAAAATGGAAAAGAAAAACGGAAAATATCCTGAAGACAACAGAAAAGGATTACTGGTAAGGAGTGGCTTGCAAATCGAAAATGGATAGGACCACCAACGATAGAATCCGCGATTTTATGAGAGTAACACACACTACAATAAACGACATTAAAGTGAATCAGCTAAGATGGTACGGACATATAGAAAGGCTTTCAGTCGAGAGGCTGCCAAAACAAATATGGCAATGGATGCTCAGGACAGGAAGAAGGAGGAGACTAATAATCATGCCAATCTATAACAGATTGATTATATCAAAATAATCAGCGGAGTGATATTCGAAATAATGAAGAGAAACTGCACCTTTCCAACCTTTAAAAAAATATTGAATGGGAATTGTATAAGTGGATATATAGATAGTAGACAAACCATGTAAAACCCTCTCTGGTTTTCAAAAGTTAGGTTACCATAATAATGTGATAGGCAAAAAATGGATGGTAGCCACACATTTTTTAGTTACAGTAATTTAGATCCGAAGATGAGGTGAACCCTAGACTACACGAAAGGTTTACGCACTGTAATACGTGGCTGATAAAATTTCTCCTAATACTTCGGGGATGGCCTACTATGTCTTTGTCTGTTCTTCTTGACAGCATTCCATTCACGTTTTTTACTCTCTAGTGAAGATATTAGCCCGTCACTAAACGTTTAAAAAATGTTGTTATACAAACTACATTTTGGGAATAATGCATTGGTATATTTTGAGAATACTGTTGTCTCTGATATTATTTTTCTTCACGTCTTTTCTTTTATAAAGGCTTTAGATTCTTTTTACATTATAACCTGCGAATGTAAAAGAATGTTTCTTTATACAACATAAAATAAGAACTTGAATTATATTTGATTGAATGGATAAACTGCAGTTCTCTAACCCTATTGGCAAGATGGGTAAGAAGTTCTTTTTGTGATGTTGAAAAAAATTGCAAAAGATACCGTTTGATTTCTTAGACAGAATTTGAAACATTCTGTGTATACATTATATACCTCTTTTGAAAAATATACTTATCATAAAACAAAAAGCAGTTGCAGCAAAAGCATAAATAAGGAAAAATAGTAAAACTAAAACCGAACTGCTCTTTTCAAAAACATTATTGCTGGAGCCACAAAAAAACTTCAACGTGAACACTATGAAAAATAGAATAAATGTTATAAAAGTGAGTGCTGTTATAAACCATGCTATCCATTGCAATTTTGTTGATATTCCAATAGTGTTCAATAAAACCTAAAAATTAAATACTTAAGAAGCGAAAGAATATTTATGTCTCATACTCACCATTAATTTTTTGTGTTTTTCATTAACAATTACTAAAACATTTATAATACAAGTAGTCGTTAAACATAAAACGATTATAATGCCCAATGCATTTTTCATTGTTGATAGAACAAAATCTTCTTTCCAAACTGTATAAGGATATCTTTGCATCAATAAAGAAGTATCGCTAAGCGTTTCTTTATCCATGAGCTGATTAATAATAGCTTTGGATATTGTATATTGAAGGTTTAAAAATCCAGTTTCATAATAATCTAAAATAAAATTCTTTAAATTTTAATTTTCTAGGAAGTAGTATTTACTAACCAGGATCATAACCATGTTGTTGAGTCCAATATCTAGGTCCTGTAGGTTGATTATCATCGAATAATTCAGATGTATGCCAAGAACCTGAAGAAATTTCAGCAGGAAGTCTTATAGTAATAGACATTTTATCACCAATACAGTTTTTTCCAATTAAATCATCACCAAAATCTATACCAACAATAAATGAATTTGCGCTCGTTTCAGCTTCAGATCCAACTTGAAGATCATCCGCATTTTTAAAACATTTATTTTTTGTGTTGGTCGATGGAAGAATAGATTCCATTAATTCGGTTAATTGCTTGTTACGACAAGGTGACCAATATACAACAGATTTGCTGATTAACCAAAATAAGATTATTTCATTCAAATTATATTATAATAAAATAAAAAAATTCTTACTTTAAAATTAAATGATTTTCTAAACCTTCTAGTTTAAATGAAGGGAACTCAGCTGGACCTTGCAATTGTGTTGGATTCCATCTTTTTGTTATTACAGTGATCATAATTATAAAAAGAGGGATTATGAATTCGAAAGATTTTCGTATTGGATGTCTAAATTGTACTGTAAAATTTTTCCATAGAAGAAGTTTCAATTGAATTATTTTCTGTTTGAAGCTCATTTTTATGTTTGATAAAAAACTTCTTTGATTGTGACAATTTCTTGTTTATGTCTCTATGGAAAATAAATTTTTGAAATGTATATATTGATTGATTGAAATCATTTTTGGCATTATTTTTTTAAATACTTAAATTAGTGACAAGTTCGTGCATCAAATAAATCGATTTTGAACTGATGGAGAAATTCTTGTTGCTTTCTTGGAAAAATTGGTTATTACAATGGAGACATCCCTTTCAAAATATAGCAAACATCCTTTTACCCGTGATATTTTGCATTATTGTTATTGTAGTAAGAAGTATGAGTGATCCAATACAATATAATTCCATCGTTTTTCCATCGTATAGTATCCCTGGAAAACCGGAGGCTTTTAATCCCACTTATAAGTGTTATCTCTCTAAATTACCGACATAATTTAGATTCATATTAAAATTATTATTATAGATTGTCCGAGTTGATTTGGTCACCATGTAATAATACAAAATTTCAAACGGTAATGAATCATATTGCAAATAGAAACAAAATGTCCCTACAGTGTGCTCAAAACTCCTTCGAACTAAATAACATGCTCAAAAGTAACATTCATTTCACTTTAGCTGGAGTAGATTTTGGTGATCGTGCAATACGTGAAAAAAATATAAGTAAACAAATTGAAGTGGTTTTAAGGTATAAATTTAAATTTAAATTAAAGTTACAATTAGCTTAGTCGAAGTCATAAGTTATTTGTAGATTTCCGGCAGAATTGCGTGTTTCTAAAAATGCGATGGGTGGAACAATAAGGATCTGGAATAGTGATCTTTTATACCCCGAAACTCCCGATCCAGGTCCAAGAAATCACACGGATCCTACAGGACCAGATCCAAGTAAAAATATATTTTTTTAAATTTATGTGATAATCCGATAATGTATTGTTCAAGATTATTATGATGAAGGATTTTTAACGCTTCAATATGAAATATCAAAAGAAATCTTAACACATCACCTAACAAAGCACAACATTATTGACAACGAACCTTATCCTACAATAAGTATGCGTAGATTTCCATATCCTTCTTGGATCAATGATGATGGATTATTACAAACAAGCGAAGCGATTATTATTGCTGTGTGTTTCATGTTTCTCTCACTTATTGTGGGAACTATTAAAGATATAGTTGACGAAAGAGAAAGACGTTTAAAAGAAATGATGATGATAATGGGATCACCAAATTGTTTGCATTGGACGGCATGGTTTTTTAAAACATTTACAATTCTTTTAATAATGATTGGTTTGGTTACATTTTTCTTTGTAGTCCCAGGCACGAAAGTGTTAAGATACACCAGTGCTTTCTTATTTTGTATTTTTTTAATATTGTACGCATGTTGTATCGTAACATTCTGTTTTTTAGTAAGCGTATTTTTTGCGAACGGTAAAAAACTCACCCTATAAACATCGATCAATAGGTAATTTTTCTTTATTAATTTTGCAGTAAAAGTTGCTTTATTTGCCGCCGTTGTTTATTGGTGTGTTACATTCGTTCCATTTGTTATTCTGGAATTTAAACATTCGGATGTCATTACGAAAACATTTTCAATGCTTGGTTTGAATACAGCTGTTTGTTTTGGTTTTAAAGTCATTTCGAAATTCGAATCGGTCCGAGAAGGTAATGTATTTTGTAATTTGGGTTAGACACTTGAAATATACGATTTGGTTTCAAATAAAAATATATGGTCAAATTGCTTTGTACGAAATGGTGTCTAAAAAGGCATAAATCTTACACTTTATATAAAAATACCCAGTTAATATGTTGTAAATTGCAATCCATGAAGATCCATCATTTTTGACGTTTTGTAACTGTTAATTTTTCTTTGGGTTGAAGGTTTTTCTTTTGTACTTAAGCAAATGCGATATCGATTGATGATTGTGTCATAATAGGATGTTTAATTTGTGTATTTGTACCTAAGTCAACAAATATTAAAGACGGAGAAAAGTGCAAAGCCACTATATGTAAACCTATGGTTTTGGTAATCTAGCAAAATCCAAAATTCTTCTTCTGCATATTGTAGGCCTTTGGTCTGTAACTTTCAACTATTTAGTTCTCTTGACATGTTGATGTCCATGAAGACATCAACATGTCTTATGTGCTATATAACACTATGTAGCACATAATTCCATATCCTATAGCCTTCTCTATTACTTGCCTCATTATGAAGATAACATCTATGGTTGATTTATTTTCCTAAACTCCTGTTGTTTCTCCGATATGTGTACATACTCACTCATTATTGTTTCTTTGAATTTTTCCTTTACCTCTGTACTTTTTTGGTAATCTCTTGTCCAATTTCTTGAATATGGGTATGGTTATGCTGTTTTTCTATTCATTATTGACTTCTTTGGTTAATGATATTTTATTGAAGAGCTTTTCAAGTTCTCTAAGGGTAGGGTATATGGCCCTATTAGATATTATATGGTCTATCGTTGAATTTTGTTCTCAAGATCTCGTGATGTTCCTCGTTAAAGTGATGTGTTATTCCAGGTAATTTACCATTCACTCATTATAAGTTTGCTGGTATGTTTCTCAGTTTGTTTTCTTCTCTGCTTTTGCTAATGTCGGGAGCATACACACTTATGAGGTTGAGGTTTTTTATTTCTAGAAGTACTATTTCACTATTTTTGGGGTTCCAGGAAATTATATTCCAGCACACTGCTCGTATTATATTTTTCCTATTCCACCTGATAGGTGAATCTGCCAGCAAACAATAGCTTTTCAATAGCTTGCCGGGCAGATTACTAGCTTCACCTGACAACCCTACTCCTTTATCCGTGCTTGGGACTGGCAACGGTATTTGCTGAACTACTCGTTCCGTCCAGATTCTATCGCAGGCGGAGTTCCAGACAAGAACTAAAATTGATACACTTCAAGTTCGGTGAATAGTATTCATCATAAGGTTGGAAGATATGATACTTCAAGAAGAAATGTAATTTCAGGTTTAAGTTTCTGTGATTGTCCTACTTTAAAAAATCAAGTATATATGCAAGTTAATAAAATCGCATTGTATCTTTTAAAGTTCAAAATTCTGTAATTTTCACAGGTAAGCCTTCTATTATCCAGCATATATAGCTTTTGATTTTTATGTTTAATATTTATCTGCAACTCAGGTAACAAGGCTAGAAAAATTATATAAAAATACATTTTTGTCTTTTATACAGTATGTCCATAAAGTCATGGTGCACTTTTGACCGGTCATACGAAAGCAACAAAGCAAGATAAATATGTAAAATCTTTACCAAATGAAAAGAAAACTCTCCTAGTTTCACACCTGTTATGTTCTGTTGGGTGTTGCCTCCATTTGGTGCCCTACACTCATCTAAACTATGTATAATTAAGTTCTTCCCACCTTATGAACTCTACTTTTGCTTACGTGTAATTGTCAAGCACACGCATGCGCAGATTTATTAGCACTTCCAGGTAGCTTTTCCTTAGGCTCAATATATGGGTTCAACGACATACTGTGACTGAATCACCTTAGCATGAATACAATAGTATTTGCAATCGATTCTCGGATCCTTTTCTATCCATGCATTTAGGTGAAGATAAATTTAAACTTGCCTTCTCATTAACGAGACTTCATATGATCTTTAATTAATAAAAGAACTGTAATCCCGTAGTCAAAATAATGTGTATCTGTCAATTGTGGGAATTAATATAACTGACTATATTCCTCATTGTCTATCACATTGTATTTAAAATCAAGAAAAGGAGATCAAAGTTATGAAAGATTTTGTTTTAAACGTTGTTAAAATTGTGTATTTTCTCACTGAGAAGTATCTCTAATGTCGCATTTTGAGCTGGCGAGGCATAAGTCTACATTTTTTTTTAGCCAGGACAGTAAACATTCATTTTCTTTCCTATCTAAAATACTACTCAACTAATGTATTACGTCACATTCAAAGATAGTGTTTATTACATGTTGATTTGTTTCGAAACATTCTATCAATATGGCCGCGTCATTATGATTTACAGCAAACGCAACAATTTCTTCTCTTGCATTTTTTTGATACGCCAGCATCGAAGATGCAACAAGCTTCATCATTCTGAATATCAAATATATTCCTTGATCACAGGAGTAATATAATTCACAAACACAAGGTTTCGCAGCTTCATGTTAAATTTGATCATGAGTCTAAGAACTCTAAGAGACGCTCGTTTTTTTAGTGGATAACACATTTATGGTCTGGCAGCATGAAAAAGAGCGTCTCCAGGAGTTCCTAAACCACCTGAGCTCGCAACACCTCATAACCAAATTGTTCGAACGCTTCGAACCTGTTCCTGAAGAAGGTTTCAACATGGCATCCAAAACGTCAAACTTTTTTTCAAAAGATGCACGACTAAACGCAAATATATCTAGTTCTAGATCTATTGGTAGTTCTAATAATAGTACTAGTTTTAGTTCTAGTTTTAGTTTATCTATACCTCATTACTTCGGAAGTTTATATGCATTATGAATTGAATGGGTTTTTAATTATTATGTACTAAAAATAATTCATTACCAACTGTTTTTATTTGAAGCCACATAATTGTGCCAACCTTACTAATATATCGTATTAAACTTGAAGTTACATTAAGTTACAATTCAAATTATTAATATTTTAATTTCATAGGATTACAATTCCATAACATTTTTGTAAGTCCATTCCATGATAATCTTACAATGGGACTTGTTTTTATTATGTTAATTGTCGATACAATACTCTATTTGCTTTTGGCCTTATACTTCGAAGGATTATTACCTAGAGCTTATGAAATTACTAAACCTTGGTGTTATCCGTGTAAAAGTCGAAAATATTGTAAGAATTGTTTCTCAATTTCAAATCATTCAATTTGATTATTTATACTTTTAGTAAAGTCTGATTATGATAGAAGAATTCCAGAGTCAGATACTTACCAACGAGGCCCAGTTCTCACGAAAGCAGTGATAAAAGTTAGAAATCTCACTAAAGTTTATCACAATCAAATATTAGGAGTTCATAATCTTTCGATGGATATTTTTGAGGGTCATATAACAGTTTTTCTTGGGCAAAGTGGATGTGGAAAAACCACAGTTCTATTGATGATAACCGGAACGATTCCACCCAATGATGGAAGTATTTTTATTAATGATTTTAATTTAGCTACACATAAAAATCAAATTAGAAGTTCTATGACTTATTGTCCGCAATACACCGCTCTATTTCAAGACTTAACAGTCCGAGAGCATTTATATTTTTTTTGTAAATTAAAAGGAACACAAGATAATGAGGAGAGAAACGACGAAATTATTCTATATTTAGAATTATTAGATCTCACAGAATATGTAAATGTTATTTGTAATTATCTATATGTAGAACTTTTTAAATATTTTTTAGGAAAACAAACGTGTTGCTTATCTAACTAATAATATAAAAAGAAAATTATGCGTTGCGATAGCATTATGTGGAAAGGCAAAAATATGTATATTAGATGAACCAACTTCCGGTATGGATTCGATAACAAAAAGAAGAATGTGGAACTTTATACGATCTTTAAAATTGAATAAAACAATTTTATTAAGTACAAAATCAATGGACGAAGCTGATTATTTAGGCGACAGAATCGCAGTTTTATCCAACGGAAAATTACAATGTTGCGGCAGAAATACATTTTTGAAACAAAAATTAGGTGCTGGCTATCATTTAATAATTAAAAAAATACCAACTTGTTTTGATATCAACAAATTGACGGATTTCCTTAAAATACGCGTTCCATCAGTTAAACTTATTAGGAATCAAAATTTGGATACAGTTTTTCTTCTCGATAAACACGATTCGGTAATTTTTGCAAATCTTCTTGCTGATCTTGAGATTCATAGCGCAGAGCTTCGTATATACAGTTACGAAATTGCTATGAATACTATCGATGAAGTTTTAATGCGGTAAGTTTTTGTTTATTATATTTAAGTAAACCTTATTTTTAAATTTAGGTCAAATACTAATGACGTAGAGATAGATGTTGGCGATTTAAAATCAGATAAACCATGTAGGTAATAAGATTATTTGTTTAATTTACTTATGAGATAAAATTATCCTTAATTTTTAGTTGGTTTCGAAAAAATAAATCGTTTGCGAGGGTTGGCGTTAAGTTTAAATCAATTTACAGCTTTAATAATAAAAAGGGCATTATTAAGTGTACGTTCTTGGATTATTCTTGTTATTTTGCTTTTATTTCCGATTTGTTCTATTCTTTTGATGTATTTAACTGGCGAATCAAGGAAACTAAAACGACAAGACAAAATGGTAATAAGTTTGGATAAATATCGCAACCCCACGATTGTTATACAAGCAAGTAGTGCTGATAATAATTCTTATATTTCACAATACTTAACAATGATACGAAATGAAAATAGAATTATTAATATTTGGGGAAGTAAAATAGTTACCAAACTTTTAAAAGAAGTACGAATGATGATGTGTGCAAATAATTTGTATTTTAATAGATATTTTTAGGCTACCTTATCTGAAACAAATTATAGAAAAAAGTTTGTTATTGGCGCATCGTCTTCAACTAAAAACGACACTTTAACTGCTTGGTACAATAATCAACCATATCATTCTTCTCCACTTGCTTTGCAATATCTTATGAACGCTATTATGAAAACACAATTATCTGATGATGATTATGCAGTAACGTTTGTGAATTATCCTTTATCATATGCAGCAACAACAAAAGTATTGATTTAATTAATTAATTGACTTTAAAATAATATTTAATTATTTTTAGATATCAAGATTAGTGGAAATCAATAAATATGTTTTAGATATTCCTTGTACAATTGGAGTTACTGTTGCTATTATATCGGCGTTATATATAATATTTTGTATAAAAGATAGAATAACTAATTCTAAACATTTACAAATGATATCTGGTGTTAGTATTTATCTATACTGGTTATGCACTTTTATATGGGATCTTTGCACATTTTTGGTCGCCGCAGTGTGTATTATAGTCATATTAATTGTACTTGGAATAGAAGGATTTCTTTCTTTATCAGTTATAGGTAAAAACAGATACAATACAATAACACTGTAATGAGGAATGTGGAATATTTTAAGGGTCGATAAGATGTCAAATTAAGCTAAATAAACCCATAAGATACAATTAGTATTGATGAATTTCAAAACTTGACATACAATGTTTCCCTTTCGGGTAAAGTCTGCTTCCTTCTTATTCATTATTACACTATTTTCCAAATACAAAGTTTTTTGGTTGAAGAAGTCTTTGAAAGTTGTAGCCATGAAATAAGTGAGGACGCGACTATTTTTACTACCTAAGGATTATAATTTTTATATATCATTGAATATTTTCCGTCAAAACCCTTGGGGCATTTCCAACATCTATCTCGTTTCAAGCTTTGGTTTTCTTGAGAGCTCTCTTGTGACATTGAAGCTTCTTCTTCACGTTTTTCTGTACTAATTAATTCTGTTCCTAGCTGCTTGAGAAATTCTCAGTGTACTAATGTCTATCATGTTATAAAACATTGTCATTGGCCATCTTTTAGATTGCATTTTGCAGTATATGTTTGGAGAAGCTGGTATATTTGTTTGGGCCATCTCTTTTCCATGCGTAGCAGATGACCACACCATCTCAAACATTTTTTTTCAAGTCTGTGTATGATAGTTTCCGTTTTTGACATTCTGTTCTTAATTTTCATTTTGAATGCTTTCCAATCCGGATACCCTCGCACTTCTACGTAAATAATACATCTCCATTGCGCCAACTCTCTGGTTATCCTCCTTTTTCATTCGATCATTCCGATTTTTGTGTTTATCACTCCAGACAGACTTAAGTGCTTCTACCACTTTTTGGGCGATGTTATCGTCATACGATTTTCTTTAACCTTTGATAAATTTATCTTATTGATAAATCCCCAAAATAGTTTATCAGGGGGTTGGTAAAAGTGGGCCTAAATCAAAAAAAAAAATAATGTGTATATCTTTTTCTTTGGTCCGCATTGCCACAATCAATTGCTCATCCGTGCTCATGCACGGATGATGTATTTATATTGCATCAGTCACCTATTTTTGTTCATTATATCAAAACAAAATGTTAACTTTGCGACGACTTACAAAATAAAACACAAAACGCTTATTTTAGAAAATAAATGAAGTTAGAGCACGGTGTAGTGAAAAAAAGGACTGTCATCTTAAATAAACGACGTATGTTCACCGTTAATACATATACTATTTGAAAGGCAATCTTCCACGGAACGTTGGATCGTGGGAGGTTGGACAGATTTCTGGTGATCTAGGTTATTGTGAGACATTGTGTATTGTTCCTTATAGTGAAACACTTCTTATTTACAACCTAGCATTGTTTAGTTTTAAATGTGCGTGCAGTTAGTGAATATCAGATGACAACCTACATTTACTTTCAAATGTTATCTTTTAGTACAAAGGAAAATATATATTGACTGTCTTAAAAAGATGTAATGTCTACTACCTGAGGTAGTAGATGAAGAGAGTGATATGGTATCCATAGAAAACATGTTTTTATTGACTAATACGTTCGGAAGGCTGATATTGATAAAAATATTGGCCAAGAGATATTGTACACCTCTTCAATCTTAATTGCTTAGTTACATAGATATGGGATGACGAAACTATTAAATTACCTGTAGAAGTTCATTGGCTGGAAAAGATCAGATGACATTTATTAAATATGTACTATAGAATGGCAATTGAAATGGCAACAAGGGAATGTAACTATCAAGAACATATTCTACGATTATTATTAGTCTCAATCAAACTGGCAAAAGAAGCCATGTAGGTATGCAAACTGACAATATGCTGACAAAGTTCTTTTGTAGCTCGATGTCTTCCACAGACAGCGAATTCCCCATGACACCATAAGTAGCTATGTTGTGTCACATTATAAGCATGCATTTTCTGATATTATTTAGTGGCAAGTTCTACTTGCGACGAAACCATGCGCTTTCAGTTTCGTACACCAATAATTCATCACATCATCCTTCCATCGTTTCTTTGGTCTTCCTCTAGCTCATAAGCTAAGACTAACCCTCTAATGCATAAGGGCGCCAGCCCCCTTTATTATTTTTTTACTTCTTCTTGAATTTCGTGAATTTAAAGATATGCTTCAAGATGTTGGTATATTTTTGCCTAATAACGTAATAACACTCTGTTGGTGGTGTTTAGCAGTACGATGCCTCTGTAATTGTTACAACTTAGGTTTTGTCCCTTTTTGTAGCTGGATGAAACCTACCTTATATACTTCTACAATTTGTTAATTTCTCCACAGTTTCTGTATTAATTGATATATGCGTCTTCACATTCTCTCTTGATGGTTTTAATAATTCAGGAAGTATTGCATCCTTTCCAAGAACTTTGAAATTCTTTAACGACTTAATTGTTCGTACAGTTCCTTCCTCACTATCTTCTCACTATCTTCTTGTGATCTTAAAAGTTTCTCGATGTATTCCTTCCATTTCCTCCTCAGATCCATCGTTTTGTTCAAAATTATTCCGTTGTCAACCTCACGTTTGGTATGCGTTCTTTCTAGTTTGTTGTTACGTTCAGTTATTTGTTCAATTTTTTGTTTTGTTGTAGGCATTTTCTTTTCGCAGCATTCTTTCTTTCCATTATCTTTTTATAGTCATCATTATACTATTAATTTGTGATTTTTTGTAGTGACCTATAGTGTCTTGGGCAGCTGATTTCATGATGTGTCTTAGTGTCTACCATTCTTCTCTTCTGTCTTCTTGTTCTTAACGTTGTAGAAGCTTCTCCACTCTTTGTCTAAATTGTTTCATTTTATTATCTCTCAATGCTCTGTCATTCCATTTTTGGATATTTTTTAAATTTCTTTTATTTATTGTAGAGACGTGTGTGAATTTTACCTTCACTAGGACGTTTATAGAAGAATCTTTTAGGTATTAAGACTTTAGGAGAGGGAGAGCGAGGGGTGCAAGGGGGGAAAGGAGATAACATTGGAAGAAGTGGAAGTAGTGTTGATCCAGAATGAGGCATGGTTGGAGGCGACGGAGACAATGAAGAAGAAGCTATGGAAAGTAATAAACGACGTATGGAGAGGGGAGGGGTTTCCGGGCAGGTGGTGGATGGGGATAATATGACCACTATATAAAAGGGGGAGTAAAAGGGTGGTGGGCAATTATAGAGGGATCATCCTGTTGGACACTACATTTAAAATATATGCAAAAATACTGCTGAGTATCATATCTGCATCCAGTTGTTGCCGGATGGACAGGCGAGAATCAGGAAACACCGGGCAGATAGGGAGTTGAACAAGAAGGGAGGAAAGTTGTATGCATTGTTCATAGACATGAAGGCAATATTTGATAAGGTAGATAAAAGGAAGATGTGGGAGCAAATGATGAGGAGAGGTATCACAGAACACCTGATGGAGAGAGTGACGGAGACGTACAGGGTGATGGGACAGGTTTGGGGATGGGGGGAGAGAACTTTTTGGAGAGCGTGAAAGTGAAAGTGAAGTACGAGGAAAGGTATAGAAGGAAGATCGAACTGCAGGATCCTGGAAAAGTGCTGGAGGGAAATTAAGGAGAGGAGGCTGATATATGGGCAGAGAGATAGGGAAGGATATTATAGGAAAGTTTTTTGTGTGGAAAACAGGTGCTGACGATTTTGAGATTATTGCGTGTGGCTAATTGTGCTAGTCTCATACCATTGTCATTAGTTTTGTCGTGGAGGCGTTGTTTACCAATCTCATCTTGGTTTATGTCGGAAAGGAGGATATTTTGTTTTAAGTTGAGCATTAGCATAATGCAGCCACTAATAGCGTCATAAACAGTTTGGTGCTCTTTATAGAACTGTTCCATTATTGCCTTTTTGGTTGATATCAAATGTGTTTTAAACTCTCGGCCTCTTTATCGTTTATTTGGTGGTTCTTAAAATATGTTGAATAGAGAACAAAGGCCCACTTGCCAAGGTTGTCGAGTTTCATATTTAGCACGATTTAGTTTAAAATTTTGTATGGCAGCATGCTGCACATCATAGTTTTGTATATGTTTCTAAAAATGCACGTTCGATGAAAAATTTAACACATTTCTGGAAATTATAAACAAATCTTTGAAATTTGATGACCAACAAAACTGTTCAATAAATACTTCATATTATATACTTAACTTAATAATAATATTTTTTTATAAAAAATTATCAAACATTTTCTGATATTACATTTTATTATTTATGTTTTTATCGTTTGTATCCTCAACATATTTCCCATTTCTCACGTTTCAAAGTACATATATATAAAATATAATTTTTACTTTATAGGTCCTTTATTTGTTTTATTCCTATTATATGGATTAGCAATGTTACCAATGATGTATTTATTTTCTCGTTGTTTTCACGAATTCGTTTCTGCATTTTCAATAATGGCATTAATAAATATGTTATTAGGACCTATAACATTTATTGTATATCAAAACTTTATTTTTGCCGTGGTCGGACCTAATTCAATATATGAAACTTTACATTGGTTCTCACTTTTGGTACCATCTTATGCCCTCACGAGTGGACTTCTGCACATAAGTTACAAAAGTACGTTATATTATTTATGCGATATTGTTGCAATGGAAGCTTCAAATTACAATGTAACCCAAAGTCATTCACAAAGTGCTTGTGATATTGAAGATAAATGTTGTGGTATGATCGATTTATAAGTATTATTGATATTTGAGTATTAATTTAATTTGTTTTAATTTCAGATTTGGATGAAAATTATTTATCTTGGGATAATTATGGAATAGGAAGTGAAATATGTTATCTTATTTTATCAGCAATTTTTTTTATTATATTACATCTTCTCATAGAAAATCGTGTCTTTTACAGAAATAAGTCAACGACAATATCATTTAATGATGATGTCGTCGATAAAGATGTTATAGAAGAAAAGAGGAGAACTAATAGCGGTGAAATAAATTCAAAAAATTATCAAATTCTTTTAAATGATTTATCAAAAGTGTACGAACAAAAATTAGTTTTGAACCAATTATGTCTAGGGATACAATTCCATCATTGTTTCGGATTTCTTGGTGCAAAAGGAGCAGGAAAAACAACAATTTTAAAAATTTTAACCGGAGATACTCAAATAACCGATGGAACTGCTTGGATTTATGGTTGGAATATCAACAATTCCACTAAAGAAGCCTGTAAATTTATTGGATATTGTCCTCAAGTTGATGCTGTTTTAGACGATCTAACAGGAAAAGAAATATTAATTTTTTATTGTATGTTAAGAGGAATGAAACTTCGCAATTGTAAAATCGCCGCTCAAATTCTTAGCAAAGAACTAGGCTTTGAAAATCAATTAAACATGTTGATTAAAAAATACCCTTTTGGAACGAAAAGAAAACTTAGCGTCGCTATTGCCTTAATTGGTGACCCGCCAATTTTATTTTTTGATGAGCCCACAACAGGTTCGTTAATAATTTAACTGTTCTTAAATAATTATTGGTATTGTTACTTTTTTAGGGATTGATAATTTAAGTAAATCAAAAATATGGAGTGTGATTATCCGACAAAGAAATGCCGGAAAATGTATAATAGTAACATCTAAAAATATAGACGAATGTGAAACAGTCTGCACAAGAATGGCGGTGATAGTTAACGGTTCTTTAAGGTGCTTGGGTCCTCCTAAATATTTAAAAAGAAAATTTTCATTTGGATATACACTAACGATTAAAATGCCAAGCGATTCTGATGAAATCCATGTTGAACCTGTTAAAGATTTTATAAAAGCGAATTTTCCAATTGCAACCTTAAAGGAATGTTATCAAAACACTTTAATCTTTTTTATTATTAGCAAATCTATGAAATGGTCTGCGATATTTGACATCATGGAACACGGGAAAAGGATTTTAAACATTGAAGAATATTCTATTGCTCAATCCAGCTTAGAACAGGTTTCTTTAATTATAAACAATTTAATTTAATCATTTTTAATTTTAATTTTAGATGTTTCTCCAATTCACAAAACTACAAAATTATGATTAGAACAATTAGAAAAATGGTATCCAGAAATTATATTTTTTTTTATTTGTGTACAATTTAAATAAAATTAAAAATAAATTACAAAAAATAAACGTTTTTTTTAATAGACAGATTTTTTATGATTATGGTTTAATGATGTTCCAAAATCAAATTGTTATAGCTAAAATTTATTAGGAATTATGCATAAAGATTGGTAGATTAATTAGATTATTGTGAGAAAAATTAGAGTTTAAAATTTATTTTGCATAAATGTTAGATAAATCACTATCGCGTCCATAAGGAAAGATTTAAAATTGAAATTGAGCAACAAAATGTCTTTCATCAAAATTACAAGTATTCAAGAACTTATTAGAGTAATTAAATTGTATAAGTTTACAAGTTTGGATATGAGAAGAGAAAATTAAAAACTTAATTTTCTCTTTAATCTTGTCATTTAGAATTAAGTAATTAAGCTTATTGATAAAATTTACGTTTATTATACTCCCAGTAACGTTTCCTCAAATTCCTAATTACCCTATTCTCAATAAAATCCCTCAAAATTCTCAAGGAAATGTGCGATACAGCTTGATACGATTGACATGATAATTTTCAAAAATATGAGTGCTCTAACTGAGCTCGTCGCTCTGGCTTATCCGACCACCGTTAGTATTTTTTTATCCCATAACAAAACACAATCCTTCAAGATCCTCAATTATCGATCAGCAAACTGACCACTTTTCTGTCAATCCATTAACAACATCGAAAAAGTACATAACCTTGCCGTAGCCATACAAACCCCAAACGCTTCCCTGTCCATCTAATCATTAAATTATTCCACCTGTATGGTACAACTCCACCCCACATTACCATCCTAATCCAAATCTTTTATCACTTCGGATTTCAAATCCGAATATTATCGCCTAAATTGTCAAATCCAACATGAAGTTAAAAAAGCACATGAAAGAAAACGGGAACCGAAAAAATTCCTAACTTCTACGACAACTCCATCTGAAATTCGCAATATAAAAAGCAAATTCAAACTCATACCCGCCGTGACATCCGAAAACCCTTTAAAATACAAGGTTCCCAAAAAAATGAAACTTCTAGCTAATTACTTCTCCGATATCCACAAATCCAAACAAAATACCAACGCCCAACAAAACCATCAAATCATACCAGCTTCGATAAAAATTGTCATAAAACACCTTAAACCGTTCAAAGCCCCCGGCATTGACAACCGTCTTCTTCCAAACAACCTTCCACCAAACATCCTTCTAGAAAAACCTCACCAAGAAAGTCATTCTACAACTGTGCTATATCACCAGACGTATCCTCAAACTTTCACATTTGCCCATCATCTGGAAACCACAATAATTATAGCCAACGAACACTACACAATACCATCAAGCTACTGTCCCAGCTCACTAGTCTCTTCCATCTCTAAACTCACAATTTTCTAAGAAGTAATCTCTCACACAACAACATCATTCCCTACAACAGAAAAGACGTGGCGATCCAGAACATCTCAAAACTTCACCCATTTTGAGAGCAGAAATCGATGACTTGGAGTAGTCGCAACAAACAGAGTAAAGAAAATAAGTTACTTCATCATTTAAATAGGATTTTTACAGCATTTGACATCACTCGCGATTCTTCACGTTTGAAACCTAACACTGGTAACATCTGTATTTGTTTCTTGACATGAAAATCTTTGTTAGTCGTATACAAGAACCTGTGACCAGAACATACAATGCCACAGACCAAAATTTACTGAAGTATTGTGGTAAATATTTTATGTGTGACAAACAATTCACGATAGTATAATATTCCAAAAATCCCTTCCAGGATACAGACCGCCTCCTTCTGCTGAACTAACACCTGTCTAACCTCGCTGGGTCTTCTCCAAATAATGATCCTGTTTGCTATACTTGCTGGAGTGAAGGAAAAAAAAATATGCGATCTTGTTGTTTGATTTGGCACTGAAAAGTCTTAGGATGAAAGCTAATGTGATCAGCCTTTTATACAACCCCTTGTATATGAGTGCCCCATTATCAATGACGAATAAAATGTATTCCCAGAAATTTTGTCTAACATTTCTTACCAAGAAACAAAAGATACCGTTCGTATAAAACCCTATTCTGTGTACTTTCTGTAGTTTTTTAAGGGACGTACAAAATGATTTTTTTAGTACTTTACATGTACTAAAAAAATCCAAGTGACCCAAAATCGACCCATTCTTACACCTGCGTTCTTCCTTACTGATAGCCACAATACTATAGCTTCCCAAAAAAGGTGTTATAATTCCCGCTGTATTTCAGATTTGTTATCTAGGGTGGTACTTATTACATTCACTACGTCAGTTCAAGACGAAGAGCTGGTAGAATTAATGCTAGTCAACAGTTAGCATAAGTTCCCTTGGAAAGTTATCAGTCATGAATCTATCATTTATAACCCTCAGTTAAGAGTTTACTANTACAGACCGCCTCCTTCTGCTGAACTAACACCTGTCTAACCTCGATGGGTCTTATCCAAACGTTCGTTACCTTCGTCTTATCGACGTTTGTTACCTCATTCTTACTTCTATGTTTTTCCGTACAGATAGCCACAATACCATAGCTTCCTAAGAAGTGTAAGAATTCCCGCTGTATTTCAGATTTGTTATCTATGGTGGTAGTTATTGCATTCACTACGTCAGTTCAAGACGGAGAGCGAGTAGAATTAATGCTAGTCAACAGTTAGCATAAGTGCCCTTGGAAAGTTATCAGTCATGAATATATCATTTATCACCCTCAGTTAAGAGTTTACTATTAAGTTATACAACATTGTTTGAAAATATATGAAGATACAAATCCGACATTGATCTTTCTTTGAGACTTTTTATTATAGCAATAAATTCTTTCTTTATCACTCGAGTTAAGAAAACATTTGGTCCAAGTTGTTCAATTGCCTTAGAAATACGTTTAAATCGTTTAAATGTTTAATTCACTAATTAAATGGTATCAATTTAAATAACATATATTTCTTTATTTATTTTCATAATTTCTTGTTTATTACTCTCCATATTGTTCTATTATAGTTATATTTTCACGTTCAGTGACCATCCTCTCTATCTTTCGTTACTTTGCATTCTGTATCTTTTTTAAATATTCTTGCTTCACATTACTATTATAGCATAAATAAGTTCCTACAATAACAATGTATAATACATTGCTGAAATTTACATTGACTTTATCGATAATACCATTACGTGTAGAGCATCCAGGGTTTGGAGGTCTGATGGACCTGTCTCTCCATTTTGGTGTCTAACTTTGGCCCGTGCTACATTTATTTACTCTCATGATAGAAGATATCATATAGCTTCGTAATGCGTTAGAATTACAACGTTCGAGTAATCATAATTGTTAAAAATAATTTGAGAAATATTTGGTACAGTTGGAAATCATTAAAAATAGTTTGGTGATATCTAAATTTTAAATAGTCTCTTAAAATCTATTATAAATTATTAAAAAACCTGGGGAGGCGTGACAAGCTCTTCCAGGTAATTGCTAATTATTGGTAAATTGCTAATTAAATTATCATAAAAGTGTATTTTAAGATTTTAAGAACTTTCGACTGTCTTCAACAATCATTTAGTGCTCATTCTTAAATATATATTTAGTTGCTCAATTTCATAAATTTTATAAGTAGGTAGTTCCGATTGAAAAACTTACTTAAAATGATGCTCAAACGAGACTTATGTATAATAAATTTAAAAATTTCAGTTCTTTTACATTTTTAAACTTACATTTTCTTTTACAAATTTTATTTTTAAATGTATTTTCCAAAAATTTTAGATAATCATACTTTCGGTAATCTCTAACTATTATTAGAAACAACTGATTTTGGATGTTATCGGTAATATGAATACCTCATAGAAAATTCTGAAAAATATATTATTTAATAAACGCTAAAAAGTTCATTTTGATAAAACCAGACGAGTAATACTTCATATTGAACACATTAATGGTCCTTGGTTCTTGAAAATGTTCATATTTTTTTAAATATTTACAGGATGTTTTTCTAATTTCGCGTGCAGATCCGTTAAATCGGTTTTTAATTTTTCAAAAATCGTGGATAAACTGAAAAAATAAAATATATTTTATGTAACGATACAATACTGTTAAAAAGCTACTTACTTTCCTTGATATGTTTGAAAATTCCCACTTGGTTCATCTTCCATTGTTGTATAAGATGATTTACTTTCAATTGAAACTTGGGTTCCTATCGATTTCATATTTCTATTACCCTACAAATTAAAAAAATATATATGTATTAAGGATTAAAACCTTTATCAACAAAAAATAATTATTAATTGCCAATTACGTGCTAATATTTTTAATAAAAATATTCAATTTATATTGGCCAATTATACCCTCCAATGTGTACTTTTACTTTCTATTTTACCGATCACAACAAACCAGTTATACTTTTTTATGCAAAACAGGTGTTAAACGACCGACACCGTTTTTAAAGAACTATTTATGTGAAAAATCTCAACTCAATACGTGGATTATTTCGCCTCATGATCCCAATAAGGCCAAGCGCTACAAGCCAAACTGGTGATGTTAATAAATTATTGATACAACTAGTGGTTATAAAAGCATTTCGACTTAAATGGCAGTTTTCCAAATGTGGAAACGTTATAAAAAAAAATTTCAGAAAATAATATAAATAAATGTTGTACATCAACTTTGTACATTAAAAAAAATTAAATATTTTAATAACTAAATTTAATGTAATACAAAGAACAATTTTTAATATAATTAATTAGATAAGCATCAATTTAAAAGATATGAAATCAGTTTTATGTCACCAAAGAAGATTATTATAAAATATTTTTCTCATTAAGAGAAAATAAAACCGCCCATTTACGCAATAATCAAACCCGTATACGTTGATCGAACTAAGTAGTTAATCTCATAGCATATCGTAACTTTTAATATAATTTATAAGTAAACCCATGACGTTTAAATTGACCGTGCGTTAGAGGTGTGTCGTCGAAATTAAACTTCCAGATCGAAATCGAAACGAAAGTTCTTGAGGAATCAACGCGGATATATTAACGATAGGTTTCAAACTCTTGTGTAATATCCGAAACACTCTGAAAACAGGCAAATTTTTTTATTATGCATTAATTTTGACTCAGAATTTCAGTTTCTAAAAAAAAAATAAACAGGTCGAGGTGAGACAATTTTATTATTTTAATTGGATGTTGTATAATTTTTTTTACAATAGGTATTTTTTAAAGAATTAACGGTTTGAATGTGTGTTTAAAGATTGTTTAGAAAAAAAAGGATTAATTATGTTTTGTTTTATAATAACGTATTTAAAGTTTCGTTTTATAAATATTTATGGTACCTACATAATTTACTTATTAACATTGAAAACATCGAAAAACGTCAATACCATTAACTTCAGGTTGCTCGTCATAAATTATGACAAGATATAGTTAGTGTTGTAAAAATCAGATATTGATGAAGAAGAGATTGAAAAGCGAAAAATGGGTTGGATCTAATAAATGCAACAAAGGGGCTAAATAGAGAAATTAGGAAAAGAGTAGTAATAGAAGAAAGACACGATGAGAAGATTTTGATGATAGAAGATTTTTTTCTTTAATAGATCTTATAGATTTAATTTTACAGAATGTATTTTTGATGTCTTCTAGCTTCATATGTCTTCCCTTTAGTCGTCGGACGTGATGTTGATTGCTCAGCAGTTGAAATGCCTTTATATTGTAGTGAAGGTGAAATCTAGCTTCATGCTTTTCAGCAAACCTTTTAATTTCTTCCTTATCGAAAGTATATGGGAATTACGCACATACCAAGAGACATTGTTTCCTAGCACGTTCTTCTGGAATATATGAATACACGAGTAGGTGCCAAATTGCCATATTGATTTCAAGGTCTGATTGTAAATCAGTAGTTTGTTGGAGATAAAAAGTTTAGAGTTTTTTCCAATCAGCCAATGGAACTGTCTTTATTTTAGGGCTAATCTCGTTCTTTTCTTCTTCACATACTCTTTCTCCCTAAGTTTGGTATCCAAAGTCATACCTATATCTTCATATGGAACAGAATTGCCATTTATATCTAGAGGCGGTGGGGCAAAAAGCTTTATTTGTAAAACTAATATGGACTTCTGTTCGTTAAACTTTATTTTCCCTTTTTTATGTTTCTGGCTTCCCAGTATAACTACTAATCTTTTCCATTGCATGTTGTGTTGTATCATTTGTAAACGTAGGAATATATATAGCAGATACAGGACCCAGTATACTGCTTTGAGGCATTTTTTATCTTCTTGTTTATCTTGTTTTCTTGTCTATCTACTTGTTTAACTCTGAAGAGTCTATCCGAGATGTACGATGTTAATATCATCAACTAGAGCATTTTATTCAGTTTATATATAAAGCCTTCGTTCCAAACTTTATCAAAAACTTGTGCCACATCTAAATAAACTGCCAAGTAAACTTTCTTTTCTTCCAAGCGTTTGCCTGATTCCAAATTAATAATCTGGGATTAGGTTACTTGTCTCTAATATTGGCCTCAACATTTTAAACAATAAACTACTGTTCCAAGAGTTTTCAGACTAATGGTAATAGTGAAGTCAATATATTACTGATTTACATCTTTCCTAGACAAGTACTTTATGATTTCTCCTGCGATGAGGTGAAATCCTGGAGCTTTCTTTGGATTCAGCTTAGTCCTTATCTCATATGCAACTTTTTCAGAAGTAACTGTTGTGATATTTTCTGTTTTTTAAAAGGTTTTCAATATTGGTCATTTCTTGATTGTTATGCCCTGGGTTGGGAGAAAAGACCTCATTCAGATGGTTAGCAAACAACATTAATTTTTGCTTATTGTCTGTAGCCCATGAAGCCCATGGATTCTTCTTTAAGAATTTGTATTTCTGCATCAAAACAACTCTCTTCTGAGTTACTGGGTCTTGTTATTAAGTATAGTTTTTCCTGAAGGATTCCTTGATTGTTGCTATCTTTTTTAGCTCTTCGTTTGTCTTTGATAAGTTCTCTGATCTCAAATAGATAATTCACACTTTTGGTAGCACGTATTATCTCTTTAGTTGTTCTTGAAGTCAATCTAAAAGCTTTTCCAATCAGTAGCTTTGTTAGTAAGAGTAGCTCTGGCTGCCCTTTAAATGTCCTTCCACTAATGTTTGTATGACGGCTAAATGATCAGAGCCAATGTTAAAGATCTCTTTTACTTCTATGAAATTGAAAGAGTAGTTTTTTTTTAATGAGTGGTAGTTGCGGTTCCTCTCTTAGATTACTTTCTTTAATTGTCTTCCTTTGGTCATGGTTAGCCTGGATCTCTACAACGGAATCTCAAGGTATCTGCTTGAACTTTAGATCATTTCTCACGATATCCCGATGACACAGTACTTCTGGTTGACTGAAAAACGGTAGGTTATGTAAATTATAGTGGAAACTTAAGCCGTTGCTTCATACGCCTAACACAATGCTATCCATTTACTATCCGACCATTAGAACTAATAACAGAATTAGTCATTTTATTCGTACTTCGTTCAGTACTCATCTACAATAAGAAATATCCTCATCTACAATAACTTCACTATTGTATTTTGCGCTTGCATATAATAAATGTATAAAAAAATCCATATAATCTACTAAAATGGTAAAAACAAAAATATCACAACTTTGATCCCAAATTAACGTGTGTTGTTCAAAACAAATAATTTTTATTTATTAATTGAGCCGTAATAAGTCTTTTAAAGTGCCACGTGCGATCTTTATTGTTATAAAGAATGAATGAAACGCTTGTGGATATCATTTTTTACGTTCGCTTCCCTGTGAAAGCTCTTTTAGAGTAACGGTGCTAATTACAAAGAGATATAGAAATGAGATCTTTTCAGGTTATTCTGAAATAGAGGACAGTAAATGATAGTGTTCATTTTTTACAAGCCATCTGTTTTTCTTTTTGAAGTCATCTGTTTTGAAGAGAGAGAACAAATTTTATTTTCGGGCGTAACAAACAATCTCATAAAAACATGCAAATAAATTCGGTAAATATAATACATTTCCAAAAATAGGGCTACCGACCTTGGTCTTTTTACCCGAGATCAGTGACATTGTTAGATTAGTCAACAGTCTTCTCTGTTTCGAAATTTTTGATGGTATAGCGTTAAATGGTTACTGTGGGAGTGATGGTGTAACTCAAGAGTGATAAACAGATGTTTTAAGGGGTTTAATAAAATATTTTTGGTAATTTCAGTAGAGAAAACTTGTAACCGGGAACGGATAGGAATAATTTTGATAAGGCTGAAGAGGAGTTCGTTACTAGGATTAAACCGTAAAATCGTTCTTAGCGCAGCTTTTTCTGCAACTTCCAGGTGGTACTTGGATTCTCTTGGCACGTCATAAAGGAAAATCGATGCCTATTCGATGATTAGTCTGCTTAGCGCGTTATAAATGTTAGGAATCTAAAGTTCTTGGTGCGATTCTTGAATTTCATTTTTACTTTGAAGTTGATGTGGGAGACATGGTAGACGATTGAATTGTTATTTCTGGAGAAGGATTTATGCTCCTTCTCCAGAAGAGAGAAAAGGAACAAAAAAATCCTTCTACATCCTTCTACATACCAGTTCTGAATCCAGACTTTCGCGGCATCAATAAGCGACTGGAGTTTACGAACTGAATTATAGATGTTCGGACAATACAAGACCAAGGTTGTTGTGTCATCGGCGTAGATCACTGCATATGTATCCAGGTTGAATACATCTGGGTTATTAATGCATATATTATGGCAGAAGATGTTGTATAAAGAAGGTGCTATTGGAGATCCTTGTGGAAGACTTTATTGTAGGGAGAAGTTACAGGAGTATAGATTTTTCAGTTTTACGAGTAAAAAACGTTCTGAAAGGACCTTTCAATTCTTGATTGAATATACACATTCCTTTCTTTGTGATTTAGATTTTACAGGTACCAATTTATAAGAAAGATTTTTAAAGCACCGATATTGTTGCCACGGAAGGACTTAAGCTTTTAATTAATCTTTTTCTTTGAATAAATAAATAAATAAAAAATACATAAATAGAAAAGTATTTGATCTAATAAGTATGATATAAGCAAACTATTTAGACTGAATTGAATGGTGTATTACGTTTCTTTTAAAATTCTTATAAATTCCTTATACGAACAGATTATAATTTATGACAAATTAAACCGACCTGACTCGCTCGCACTTTAATTACGCAAGAAATTGCTACAAATGCGACCTGTTACAAAAATAAAAGACCAACATCCGGAGTCACAATTGCAATCACGTCAACAATTTTTAGTTTAAAAGTCAAATGGATACGTTTATTTGCGCAATCTGATTTAATTTAAAAGATTGCTATTAATTGGAGTAATTTTAAACAACGTCGTGTTTAATGCCAAAACGATTAGCACTTGATATCCTTATTAAACTTATTTAAATAAGTTTACTTATTCTAATTACTGTCACCTTCTGATTATTTCTTCATTTGAGCATTTACACCTAATCTACATTTAATATGGTAACATTATAATCACTGGATTTTATAGAATTATAGAAAAAAATTATTTGTGGCCCTTTCTGAGGTCTGCATCTCTTACGTAGTAATTTCTATTATAATAATAGTTCAAAAACTGTATGATTAAACAAATCAAAATGAAAATTCTGTCGTGACTCTGTCTATTATTCTCTCTATATCTTTAGAGACTCATAATTTTGTAAATTTATGAATTGAAAAAATCTAATTTCCTTTTTAGATAGTTTTGGAGATATTCTATAAGAACTCAAAAAATCAAAGCTGTAATTAATGAGTTAAAAAATGGGAAAGGTAAAATACAGACATTAAAGGCGTTTAAAATTCGTCTAAACATATTTTTTATTTTCTTTCATTTTTATATACAAATCATTTCTTAAATAGAAAAGAAAAACTTATTCACTTAAATTCTAAACAAATTTTTGGGATGATCGATATTTAAAAATCCACGTTTAATTTACCAATACTTGCTGTATCCATAACCACCATAGGGGCTGTATCCGGAGTATCCACCATAACCATATCCACCATAAGAAACGGGAGCAGCATAAGCTTTCGTGATGATTGGAGCGCTGTAGGTCTTAATAGCACTAACTCCCAAACCTAATCCACCATGGTATCCACCATATCCGCCGTATCCACCATATCCACTGTATCCCCCGTAACCCAAACCATGATATCCTCCGTATGAAACACTTGGATATCCATGATATCCATAACTAACCGGGGCGGCAACTACTGGAGCAGCTACAATAGGAGTTGAATATCCAATTCCATGGCCGACACCTAAACCAACTCCACCATATCCGTAACCTCCAAGAATACCCCGTTTTTCTTTGGCGGGAGCTGCGTCTTCAGCTAGTGAAGCCCCAATAATGGCAAGTACAACAATCTAGTCAAAAACAAATATTTAAAAATTATTAAAAATACAACATTATTATAAAAATACTCACCAAGAATTTCATTTTTTTTAAATTTACAAAAAATTTCTTTTTGTAGTCACAAAGAACTGAATACTTTAAGACACACTGTGGTAGTGTTGTGTTAAATCGTTGCAAAAAGGTTCTTATATACCCAGAAAAACAGGAGGGATAGTGGTTGGGCTGGGTTTTTCACGCGATGTGTAAAATTCATAAACAAGAAGTGGACCGCGTGTGTATGGACCACCTATAACAATCGCTACGGTTGTGACGTAACGGGTTGATATGGCTGTGTCTCAATGGGCCTTCATCGGGTTATTGGTGAAATGGTCCGACACACGAGATGATGAAGAAGAACGATTCTTTAGTTGGACGAAGCTCAAGGTAACGCCCAAGCAGCGCGCCACTTTATTGTTATTATGTAAAAAGAAGTTCTTTTAGACTTATGTTGATCGAAGGTTAAAACCGTACCAGTTTCGGATTTCGAAATTATATGGCAGCTTTTTTGATGCAATATGTTTTTCTTAGTCGACTTGTAAACGTAAATAATAAAATTGTGATGGTTAATCTTAAAAATTACTTCAGTTGGGTTAAGATGTTAATAATATAATAATCGTTCATATTTTAATTTATTACCCATTTTAATTAATATGTAAATTATATGGAAAATAATAATTCTTATAACATGCTATTCTGTGAAAACGACGCACATCATTAAAACATGATGAGAAGGAGCGAATTAGATTATGAAACTAGAAACTTTATAGACAACAAAATTAAATTTGTTAAATTATTAAAACTATTATTGTTTTTATTATAACATAAAATTTTGTAGATTTTTTTTTACCATATAGTATCACGTTATACAAATTTTAAAAATAAACTTAGTAAATATATCTTGAAGATTTCTTAAACTAACAAGGATAGAGATCGTGTTCATAAAAATTAAGAAATGACTGAATAATTTCAAAATGTTAAATCGACGGTACACTTAAAAATCAAGAATACAAATACTCTTATAATGTTCTCTGTTATTAAATGTAAACAATTACTCATAATTTATAATTGTTTATAATCCGAAGTTTTCCGATGTAATACTTTAGTATTTACCTCAGTAGTACCATAAAAGAAAAGTTGTATTGTTATTAAATCGACCAACAATGATTTTTCATCCTACCCAATCTAAGAAAACGCGTCAATTTGTGTACGATTGCATAAAATTGTTGCAATGATATCTAAACGAAGATATGCCGAGCACTTTAATTTGAAATGTTAAGAGAAAATCGTCGTATTAAAAAGACAACCATAAATAGATTATTCACGACCTAAGATAATATGTAGGGGACCCACTTAGAGGTTACCCAAATTTCAGAGGTTTACATACTTAACGTTCGCCATAACTTTGTCATGTGCTGAATAAGTTTTGGAAAATTATTATTAATTTAAATTTAATAGTTTAAATCATAAATTAATCTGAACTTCGTCATCACAATTAAGCTTGATTTTGGGCAATTCTTCAAAATTTCATCTCCATAAGATTTTTCATTCGGTTTGTTTAAACGTATTACATAAGTCAGAATTCCATGACATAGCACTATGCATTTAAGGCAATCTAGGTCAAGTTTCAGCTGTACAACCACTTTTTGCTTGACAAAGGGGGCTCAATACCTTATATGATAGAGGTTTAACTTTGAGAATGAGAACCAATCTAGATACTTCGGCTCTCTTCATGTTGACTGCTGTCTTGATAAGTATTGTAACTATTATCTGTTATCAACTCTAATTACAGTAAATATAATCATTAAAAAAAATACAGAAAGTTTAAAGTAAAAGAATCTTAAAGTAGTTGGCTTATAGAACAGAAAACTCTTCGCAGAACCCAAGTTTCTGAACAGTGTTGCTATTGATGGCGTCTAAATTCGTTACTGTTAATTCAGATGTAATGTTGAGGCATCACATTTAAGTCCTTCTTTCGTATATTGTTTATTATGAATTATTTTTGTAATCAAATCATAAATCCACCAATATGGATAAACAGACTACTTATTGAAACCAACTTCATTAATATGTTGATTGATTTTGAATCTGAAGAGATTTTTGGGGCATGATGAAAACAATGAATAAGGATGAAGTCATCTTCGAAAGATCACATCAAATACGAACGATAATTTTTAGTCAGAAAGTCGACAAAATCCAAAATTAATTTTCCAAAGAAATTAGTCTTGGAAACTGTATGCGACAAATCTTACAGTGTAAACGCTGGTGGATTTATTTTTTCAGAGAAATGTATTGCATTATTGAATTTATATGGTGAGCAAGAAGCAGTAAAAAATCTAAAAAGGTATCATAATGGAAATACCCAGATGTCCGATTTATCGTAGGACGATAATCCCACCTCTGCCGAACTTTACTGTGAACCCAATACATTCAGGGAAGAGGCGTGCAGAGTGACGCCAGATCCACACCCTGCCATCCGACCTGTAGAGGGTGATCCTTGATTCGTTGCTTCCGAGAATTTGGTTCCATTGATCTACGGTACACTAACGACTTGTTTGAAACACATTAACCAAGCAGCTCGGTTAGACTTATTGTTAGTGATCAAAGGCTTATTTATGGGCAGCAACACGACCGTTAAAAACAAGCAGATTTGTTCGCTTACGGATGGTATTCAACGAAACAACAGTCTTCGATGCCTGTTGAAACTCCAGGTGTACGTGGTCTATCGGTGGGTGTGGTGCTTTCGAATTCCTTAAGACAATATCGTAAGATGAGGCTACTTGACTACCCCGCGACTACATGGACACAAGGCATACATGTTCAGTCCTGTGTCACGAAAGCGAAGTTATGTTTTTGTTTCTGGTGTTTTTTTCTTGTTATCAAAGGAAGTCACTGATTAAAAATAGTGCGCACCTATTAAAAAGCTCCTATGCATCAAAACCCTACATGAATTACGAAGTGGAAGACTTGGAAAAGGCTATAAATGCAGTTCGGAAGAGGATGTCAAGGAAAAAGGACGAAGAAACGTTCAAAGTGCTTCGGACAACATTAGTACGGAAGATGTTTGGATGGAATTCAAGACCCGTTGGACATCCGACTGTTTTAAGCAAGTCTGAGGAGCTGTTGATTTCTGAAACTTTGGCTGTTGTTGCGAAATGAGGGTTCCCCTTGACAAAGGCCGACAATCGAGATGTGGTGAAAAAATACCTAGATAAACAAGGGAAGCAGGTCAAGGTCTTCAAGAACAACAGTCCACGTCCAGATTTCATGGATTCTTTTATCGCTAGAAACAACCTGTTTAATTCAATAAAAAATGTGTCTTTTACATAAAAATACATTCCTTAATGCTTCAGTTACATTTTCAAGGGAACTTGACCATCTGACATGCAAAGTAAGAGATTGCTCCTAAAACGAAATTTAGTGTACAAGAAGCCCCAACAACGGGGTTATTCGGACATCACTTTTTTACACATTTTTTGTTGTTTGTATAAGGTATTTTCAATGTTTTATGATAGCTATATAATCCTGAAGGTTAGGTTGGTATTATGAATAAGTTTTTGTTGCCTTAACTTTATTTCTTCACTTTTAATCTTGAAAAATGCGCAAAAAACATGTCCAAGTAACCCCATCTTACGGTACTCAACGGTCCTATTTTCTAGTTTTGTGGGTGTACTGATTCGGAGAACATTCACCACTTACCTTACACTTCTGATTCAACTCCATGCTCCTTCAAAAAACGACCATTTGTGATAGTAGATAATTACACCTTTCTCGAAATTATATATAGCAATATTATTTACTATATAAAATTAAACGATGTAGATCATGACAGACATATGAACCGCAGATGTCGGCATTTGTATGGATGCCCAAATACATACTTAATCGTAGATAGAACATATTTTTCACCGATTTCGTAGCCTCTAATATTCTGTTTAAAGATTGATTAACATACAAGCAATAAGAGTCAATAAACCAAGTGAACGTTTAAAGAACAAACAGTGTTAAATCGTCGTGAAATTACAGTTACGAGGGATGGATTGTTCGATTTCACCATAAGATCTTCAAGAGTATTTACAAGAAGAGACGGAGCCATGTACAACAGAATGTACATGTTACTGGAAGTGTTGCAAAAAGGACGACTTTCTTTGGACACCGTACATAAATAAACAACTACAGAAAGGTAAAATTATTACAACTCTATCGTTGAGTACCATATTTGGAAAGAGGATAATAATAGCTGTTTTTGATCATGAGAAGATTATTGAAATATACTAATTCCAATATGATAAAATACACGACGCATGTACTGATATTGGATACCAACAATTTTGTCAAGACTCAAGTTCATTAATTACAAAATAAGACCTCTGTAATGATTTTTGGAAGTAATACAATAGATGGTGCACCAATTTTGAGTGATGTAATTTTTAGTAGTTCATATATAGCGTCGTAATTTCATTTACGCTGCGCGTTGCAGATTTTGGCGCTTTCAGCAACACCTACTTTTAGTACTCATAAAGATTACTTTGAAAAGAAGATTTCCATATGGACATTGAAGATCAAGATATGCAACCTAATATTACCCATATACAGTAACTTATGAAACAACTCTTAGACAATGAATAATTGTCTAAGAGTGAACCAGTGAATATAAGGGACCAGTGAACCTTAAGGGTCACTGGTTATTTATATGTTACTAACATATTGAAAGATATTTCAAAATCGCCAACGAGGGCAACTAAATTCCTCAAATGTAAAACACATCATGCACTATAGCTACCAAATACAGAAGCGTTATGTTTGTTTGTGGTAGGATTTAACGAGGAGTCAATATGATATTATGAGAAAAATTGAAAAACGGCGCTGTCCATGTACCTAGTCATTATTACAAAAGGCAAAACAGCAATGCTATTCGGCACCTGAAGCTTTTCTTGTAACATGCATATGTGTTGAAGTGCTATTGCAATATGTTTTAAACCACACTTGTTGCCGTTTATACCAGTATCTAAATAAACTTTTTGATGCAGCAAAGAAGAACGGTCTATTTTAGAACTGATTTGCAAACTCAATTCAAACAGAAGTTTAAAAATACAAGAGACTGTGATGCAAATATCTTCCAAAGCTCCGTTGTTCCACTTAGATAAATATGGGAAAATATTGTCCTCCTCCCCGCTAGGTTTCTTCATGACCTAGATAATAAGGATGTGACCAAGAAAAAAAGGGCACTGACCATGAAGTTAAGGAAATGGTATTATTTA